TAAAAAATCCAAGAATACTCTCTCAATTCTTTGCACAGGATTTTCTCTTGGTCCAGAAAGCATTCTCTCCGTTTTACTCTGCCACACTTTTCCCACAACTCCACACGTTCCCCTAACATTTCTATGATTGCTTGCTCCCATGATTATCTCTGTGTTAGACAAATGTTTCCTTTGGGGCAGATGACCATTTCCTCATGTGTTAGGGGTGTAAATGGGCAGCTACAGCTAAACTTTTAGGCAGGGTAAGAATCAAGAATGGAAGAAAAAAAGATTTCCTGGTTAGAGACCCTTGGGTATGAAGAGTTAGGATGAGCATGACTTGTTTGAGGAACTGGGGACTGAGAGTACGGAAACTCTTCACACGCAAAAATAGTTTATCTTGAAGCCTTTGATGCCGGGGTTCTTGTTCATGAAGCCGAAGAATGAGCTTCACAAACACTCAAGGTAGGAGAGCAAGGTACAGGCTTTTATTTAGAGATAAAGTGAGAGGACAGAGCTCTCAGCTCACTCCAGGAGGGGACAAGAGAGTCCGTGGTTGGCTCATTGTCTAGGAGTTTTATGCACGGTTGAGGATTGTCAGGAATGAGGGTAAAGGGTTAGGAGTGCAGACTTGTAAGACCGCCTGCCCTGCCCTCGAGGTGGGGTGGGTTGTCCTCTCTTTGCTTGGGTTGTTTATAGTTGAGATTGCTTACCAAAGTAGTCTTTTGCCTAGGTTGCAGATTACGATTAGAGAAGGGAAAATAGCACATAGTTACAATTAAAATAAACTGGACCTTTTAGCAGGATAAGGTAAATTTTACATTGTCATGATGTAATTGATACAATAAAGTGATGGTTTGTGCTGAGATACCTTTATCTGCAGAACACTCAAACATTCCAGGCCAAGTTGCTCCTAGCCTTTTGAGTTTTAAGTGATTTTACTGAAGAATGTCTATATTCCTAGTCATGTATACAAATCTTTATCCTAGAGAATTAGTGTGACTCTGCTTTGCATAATGTTTAAAACAGAGTTTTGACAGGGACTTCTTTGCTTATTGTTACATTGTTCTTACTGTAATTATCTTGCTCTGCTTTTTCTCCAGAGGCCCTCACCCTACTCTGCCTAATCCCATGGTCCCTGTCTCACCTTGATGAAAATTTATCCATTAGAATAATCTATATAACACACCATTTTCTGGAGTGTTCATCACATTAATTTAGCAATGAGCCCGTGTCTCACACATCAGCAATGTCTTAATTGAGTTTCTTGCTAGTAGATGTGACTTTGAGGGACTATGTTAGGTGTCTTAAATCAAAATAAAAATACTTCCTAAATTTGAAACTGAAGGAGATAACAAGGGATTAATTAAATAAACTACTGTATGGCTGTATAATTAGATATTGTACAACAAAGAAAATGATGTTTTAGGTCTACCTTTACTGACATATTGTTAATGGAAAAAAAGGAACATGTATTTATATATGATAAACAGTGTTTTAAAAATATGGGCTTAAAATATATATTTGACACATGAAGGGATCTAAGTCTTTAGGCTAGACATCCAGAATGCTAGCAGAGGTTATTTCTTCATGGTGGGGTTGTGGTATTTAGATTAGTCTTTACAAATGGCTTTATTTCATGTTTTATGTTTTCATTTGTTTTAGAATAAATACAATGAATAGTTCAAATAATGAGCAAAGATACCCTGTTTTGGCCTTGTAGTACATGTTGTATGTACCTGTTGATTACTGTACTTTTATTTTGGAAATTTTCAAACTTATAGAAAACTTGAAACTGTAGTACGGTAAATGACACTACAGTCTTCATCTAGATTCACCACTGCTGCAGACATCATGACACTTTACCCTAAATACTTTTAAGCATTTTCTCCTAAGAACTAGGCCTTTCCCTTATATAACCGCAGTACTACCACAGACTAGAAATGTGTCGTTATTACCGTACTAGTATCTGCTATACAGTCCATATTTAAATTTGCATAGTTATCCTAATAAAGTCCTTTATAACTTAAAAACTTTTTAGACCAAGATTTCATTTAGACCAAGATTTAATTAAATTTAGACAAGATTTCGTAGAAGATCACATCTGGCATTGGGTTGCTGTGTTGTCTCATTGTTCTCTTTTCATCCTTAACAGTTCCTTACTTTGTCTTTTATGATGTTGATTTTGAGGACTCTATGTCAGGTGTCTTCTGGGCAGGAATACTTGTATTGGCAAGAATAGAGTGGTATTAATTCTACATAATTTTGTTTTGAAATTGGAAATTTTAGAGATTATGAGAAATACATAGAGCCTTAATTTGAACCTTTTTGATGCTGTTCAACCTAAAATTTCTACTATAGAAAAGCCTTGCTTCTGCTTGGACAGCTTTAGGGTTTTGATGAAAAGGCTTTGTTTTAAATGAAAGCAGAGGCAGGAAGAAGCAGTTTTGAGAATGTTGCACTTTTTGTTCAAATATATTAGCTTATGAACGCAGTTCCCTACGGCTGAGATTACCAGGGTTGATCATAATACTGTGGTCTCAGGGGACGCTGAGTAGATGGGAATCTTTCCAAGCACCAACTTTCACAGTCATACTGTGTTTTTCTAGCCTTGTTAATGTAAGGGGGGAAATGCCTTCTATGCCTTTGTAGAAAGGAATAGAGTAGAAAGCTAGCAGCAGTAAGACAACATAGTTAGCTTGCATTGAAATTTTAAAAATTCCATTAGACAATTTATAACCATAAGTTTTATGGTTTAAATCCTTGAAAAACTGTCAGTAGAATCCACTTCTTCCAGGGGCTAGGCTTCTCTGTAGTTGTATGTCAGGGCCTTTTGGAAATAGCATTGTATGTTTTTTAGATATATATTACTCAAGCTGCGCTAGGCTGTCCTTTAGTAGCAATATACAATATTGATGAACAAAACTCCAAATCTCACTTAAGAAAAAAGAGATTATTCCTTGCTCATGTGATCACCTAGTGTGGGTCATTTGGCTGTTGTAGTTTAGAAAGTTGGACTGAGGCTGCTTCCGACAAGCAATTCCACCATATATCTTCTAGCCTCATGGGTGGGAGAGAGTAAACATGGAGAGCTTATATCCACTCTTTGTCTTTTGCTGAGGTATCTTAAATTCTACATATAAGTGATGTAATGAAGTATTTGTCTTTATGTGTCTGGCTTATAGCGCTTAGTATAATGTTCTCCAGAGCCATCCATGTTGTCTAAAAAGGAAGGATTTCCTTTTCTTTCATGGCTGAATAATACTCCATTGTATTTATATACCACATCTATTGTATTCATCTGGCAAGAGACATTTAGGATGCTTCTGTGTATTGGCTATTGTGAATTACAATGCAGTGAGCATGGGAGTACAAGTATCCCTTTGAGAGAGTGATTTTCTTTCCCTTAGACATACACCCAGAAGTGGGATTGCTGGATCCTGTAGTAGTTCTATTTTTAATTTCCTGAAGAACCTCGGTACTGTTTTCCATAGTGGCTGTACCAGTTTACATTTCCACCAACAGTGTAGGAGGTTTCCCTTTTCTCCACATCCTCACCAACACTTTTTATCTGTGATAATAGCCATCCTAACTGGTGTGAGATGGTATCTTATTGTGATTTTAATTTGCATTTCCTTGATGATTAGTGAACTCATATCCGCTCTTAACTGCTCTTAGCTTGTTGGCAAGGACTAGTTGTATGTGGCTCTGAGAGGGTGGGAAATGTAAGGGAATCCATGGGCTATTTGCTGACCTGTAGGTCGGTAATGTATGTTGTTTCCAGTGGCAACATTATAGTAAACATAGGCTTTAGAGGCTAGCCAACCACTGTTGGGAATCCCTGGTTATCATGGTGAAAAGCATATACTAGCTTAGTTCATTTCTTCTTCCTTCCTTGTACTTGTAAAAAGGCACCTGCTGACAAAGAACAGTGGTGTTTAGACTGTAGACAGACAGATGCGTTGGAGATTGACACATTAACGCTTTTTTTCCCAGTCAGTGAAGAAGTTAATACTACAGTAACAATGTTGCACCCTCTGCTTTGCCTATAAGGTACTTGGCATTATTGAAATTCTCATTAATTATTTATACCTCTTCATTTGGTCTTTAAGTCTTCAGAATAGAATTGAATAACCATAACACTACCTTGGATAGGTGAGATTTACGGAACATATTTAACCAAACCTTTTGGTGATTCCTGCCTATTGGCTGTCATTCTTGATGTTGACCCTTGTCTGCTGTATTTGTCTAATAAGATATTAAAATGTATGTTTACAAGGATTATTGTTATAAATAGATTTTAACAGGAACAAACTAGAATTTAAAAATAGTCTCTCTTTCCCAAAATACTTTGTTCCTATAAATTTTTCCTTGACCAGATTAACAGCTTTTCCATGGAAATAATTTTTATCTTTTTTTTTAATCTACAGTGTTTTCATGAATGCCCAGTATATTGGAAATCATTTTCTCAATAATGTAGGCTGAAAAATGAATCTTTGCATGTAGCATACCAAATCTAATTCTTTTCCCTGTCAGACAAATCTAGTCTCCTGGATTCTAACTCTTGTGTTTATTTATAATGTCATAGGCACTGTCATAGTCTTTTACTACTGGTGTTCTATAAAGATGTTTCATAGCCTTTTTATTTTCATAAGTATCTTCATGCCACAGGAAGAACTTCTGGGAGTACAGTAGGTAATTATAAGTATTTGCTTAATAATTGATTGTCTTACACTTCAACAACCAGAAAGTTTCATTCACTGTTACTTTTTCACATCTCTGTTACGATAATCGATGGGGTTAATAAGAACACTGAGACTTCTAAGTCATTTGTACTTTATATTTCTGATGGAAAGTCCCTAATGCATATAAAATATAAGGTGAAGAATAGCCAGTGTGATATTTGATTAATCAAAGGCACACTATTCGTAAACCTGGCTAGATTGAAATAAACTCTGCTATATTAAGAATATATATTTGGTTTTTCACCCCCCTTCACAATATTGTTTTTTTTTTTTTAGGCAATAGAGATTATGCCAAGGATGATCCATTGGAGTTTAAGTCCCACCAGTGGTTTGGAGCATCTGTGAGGTCAAAACAGGATAAAATTTTGGTAAGTCTTTTGGATATTTACTCATATGTTAGTCTATCAATTTATGTGGAAACAGGAAATTTTTTGTTTGAAAGCTGATGGTAAAACTCAGTGTGTTCAAACACACAGCCTCTAACAAAATAGGCTACCCCATCGAAGGGAAGGGTTCCATCTCTCTTGCCTTTCACAGACTTTCCACTTTTATTCCTACATTGTTCATTTCTCCCACCCCACAGGATGGTTGCCATCGGTTTGTTTCTGTCCAGCCAGATTTAGGAATACTGTGCCTTTGATTAATCAAACACCCTACTACTTCCTCTCTTTAAAATATAACAGCCTATCCCTAGCTGCTTTTGCCCCTGTTCTGTGTCCCCATTCCTTTGTTCCTCTTTTCAATAACTTTTTGACAGTTTTCCGTAGTAACTTTCTCCACTTTTTCACGTTTTCTTCCCCACCACTCCAGCCAGGCTCCAGTAGGCATGGCCAAGGTCGCTCTTGACTTTAAGGTAACCGAAATCCACTAGTGCTTTTATTTTTCTTGCCCCCTCAGCACCATTCAGCAAGGTCACTTGACCCATTCTCTTTGAAACACTTTTCTTCTTTTGCCTTCTGGGACCCTCTACTTGCCTAGTTTTTTCCCATCTCTTTACCTGCTCCTTTGCAGTCTCCTTTAATGGTTTCCCTTCTGCCCAGTTTCTAAATGTTGGGGTATCTCTGGGCTCTGTCTGGGCTCCTATTTTCTCTACACCTTTTAACCAGTTGCTCCTGTCCTGTCCCACAGCTGAAATATGATCTATATATCATAATCTCCAAATCTACATCTCTGGACCTTAATTTTCCTTGAACATTTAAAGTCATAGTTCTAAACTTGCTGTCTGGCATTTCCACGGACATCTCATAAATTAAAATGAACATGGCCGAAGCAGAACTCTTGTTATCCTCCATCAAAAAGGAAAAAACACAAAATGAGTTTCCATACAAAACTTCCCCAGTTAGTTAGAGTCATGACTCTCTACCCCACCCACTAACAAGCCCTATAGTTCTGCTTCCAGAATGTATGCTGTGTTCATCAGTAAATCATTGTCTCTATCATTTCTATCCATGAAGCAAGCCACCATCGTTACTTTCCTGGGCCAGTGCTGTGGCTCTCTCTGCTTCCTCTCTTGCCTTAACTGCAATCCAGCCTCCATAGAAGGACCATAGTGAACCAGATTTATGTTCTTCATTAAAACAGTCAAGTGGCTTTCTGTCAGTCTCTGTAAAAATCACACACTTACCCTGGTTTATAAGTATCTCCATAATCAGGTCACTAGCTGTTGCTCTTTGTTACTATGTCTCTCCAACTTATGTGCTTTAGCTAAACTAGTCTTTTTATTCCTTCCACATGCCAAGTCACTTTAATTAGTACCTTAGTGTTTGTGTTCCTTCTGCCTGTGTTACCCTCATCTTGTTGATTTTTCACTTGGCTAGCTCCTTATCATTCTGATTTCAGCTTTAATTTCCTCAGAAAGTTCTTTCCTCTTTTAATTACCTCTATAGTATTTATTACTGTGTTTTTTTTTACATCTGATTGTGGGGCTTTAGAGAAGATTGTTTAGCAGGTGAAATTTCAGAAGAGCTTTAAAGGATGTGTCAGATTCTAGCAATTACGTGTGAGGGGTGGGATTAAGTGAGGGCTCTCTAGACAGAAAGCAAAGAAGTGCAAATAAGCAGAAAGAACAAAAAATCCACTCTGAAACATCAAGTACATACAGAGAAGTAGCAACGATTGTCTACTTTTAGTTTTTTCTGGGAGAATATAGAATCGCCCAGTGTTCATGTCTGCAGTGTTTGTGTTAATGATCTGCTTCCAGAAGTATTATAGAAAATCCATTGATCTTTTCTCCAGCACATTAAATTGTTACCCTTGGTATATTGCTATGCTATTCAAACATGCATTATTCTGCTTCTTACACATGATATTGAAATCTGTAACTCTGAAAACAGAAAGGTCACGATTTATTTGGAAAGTAAATAAAATAAGCACTGCAAATTCTTTTACTCTCTTCTTAGTAAATGTTTTGCTTTGTAATTTAGGGGTGTATCCTACTTGCATGGAAATGTTACTTAGTTGAAATGTTGATTTGGTCGATCACCCTCAGCTTACTGCATAACATCGAGAAAGATGCTACCTGAAATAATTTTGCTATTTTGGGAAAAAAAAACAAAAACCTAAGATTACAAATATAGCTTTCAGAAGAATGTGAGAAAGGTACTTTTTAAATATTTATCCACTCCTATGATAAGGAATTTAAGGTATAGGATAGGCTTGATTAATTTTAATTAATGCTTAGAAAGTGATGTTATATTCTGAGGTAGTGTAGATTATGTGAAACAATAATTTCTTCAGAGAATTTTTATGTTGTGGATGACACTGTGTGATTTCAGGCCTGTGCTCCCCTGTACCACTGGAGGACTGAAATGAAACAGGAGCGAGAGCCTGTTGGAACATGCTTTCTCCAGGATGGAACAAAGACTGTTGAGTATGCTCCATGCAGATCAAGTATGTATAGGAAGTTGTACCAGCTTTTCAGAAGTGGGTTGGGAAGCCCAGTTTGTTACAGGTGTGTGTGTGTGCACATTGCATGTGTGCATGTGTTGTGTGCTCAAACTGTAGTCATGTTTGATGACAGCAAAATGAAAACAATCCTATTCATGTACTGAAATTACATATGTGCAGTCAATAGGCTTATCATGTCTCCCTAAGAACTTATTTTAATCTTAGTAAGGCTCAGCTGCTTAGAATTTTAAGGACTAATTCCTGTAAATAATTTCATTAAACACTTATGTCTTAGCCATCACATACTTATTAAAAGTGAGAGGTAAACACTAAAAGAATGATACCTACCCAGACCCATTTGTATTAGAATAGGTCAGAAAACACTGCCTGCTCTGGACAGAGAGGCTTGCGGCTTACCCTCAGGGCTTGATGCCATCCGTATCACCGCTGTATGTTGGTGGTGTGGTCACAGCACTGTTGTCTTTGTGGTGTTTGGAAAACGTGAGGACTAAATTTGTGTTTTTAATTTCTGTATTTCAAAAATATTCCTATTATGAGAAGTTAATTTTAGAGTTATGAAGAATGAGCTACCTCTCCTGCTCCACATTTCTAACTTACCATTTATATGGTGGACCCACATGTAGGATCCCCTTTATTCTCATATGATAGATATGGGAACTGAGACTCAGACAGTTGAAATAGTTTTTTCATGCATCTCATGGTAGTGAGTCATCCAATGAGGATTTTTTTACTGAAGTATCATTGATACATAGTTTGTATTGGTTTAAAGTATACAGCACAGTGGTTCAACAGTACCCATATTATTAAATCCTCACCCCACTAGTGCAATTACTATGTGTCAACATAGAAAGATGTTACAGAATCATTGGCTGTATTCTCCATGCTATGCTACTATGTCTGTAACCAACTTGTATTATGATTGAGAATTTTTGTGCCCCTTTATCCCCTTCACCCTCCCACCCACCTACCCAACCCCTCCCCTGTAATAACCACCAGTCACTTCTCAGTGTAAATGAGTCTACCTCTGTTTTGTTCATTCTGTTTTGTTTTGTTTTGTTTTATATTCCATAAATAAGTTAAATTATGTGATATTTGTCTTTTTCTTCCTGGCTTATTTCACTTAGCATAATACCTTCTAAGTCCATTCATGGTGTTGCAAATGGCAGGATTTCTTTTTTGTTATGGCTAAATAATATTCCATTATATATATGTACCACCTCTTCTTTATTCATTCATCTACTGATACACACTTAGGTTAGTTCCATATATTGGCTACTGTAAATAATGTGGCAATAGACAGGCATGCAGTGTCTTTTCAAATCAGAGACTTTGTTTTCTTCAGGTAAATTCCTAGGAAGTAGAATTATTGGGTCATATGGTGTTTCTATTTTTAGTTTTCTGAGGAACCTCCATACTGCTTTCCACAGTGACTGCACCAGTTTACATTCCAACCCACGGTGTAGGAGGGTTCCCTTTTTTCCATATCCTCACCAACGCTTGTTATTTCTTGTCTTTTGGATAGTCGCCATTCTGACTGGTGTGAGGTGACAACTCATGTGGTTTTGATTTGCATTTCCCTGATTAGTGATGTTGAGTATCTCATGTGCCTGTTGGCCATCTGTATTTCTTTCTTGGAGAAATGTTCGTGTCCTCTGCCCATTTTTTTTTTTCGAGAGGGCATCTCTCATATTTATTGATCAAATGGTTGTTAACAACAATAAAATTCTGTATAGGGGAGTCAATGCTCAATGCACAACAATTAATCCACCCCAAGCCTAATTTTCATCAGTCTCCAATCTTCTGAAGCATAACGAACAAGTTCTTACATGGTGAACAAATTCTTACATAGTGAGTAAGTTCTTACATGGTGAACAGTACAAGGGCAGTCATCAGATAAACTTTCGGTTTTGATCACGCATTATGAACTATAAACAATCAGGTCAAATATGAATATTCAATTATTATTATTATTATTATTATTTTTAATAAAATGCTGAAGTGGTAGGTAGATGGAAGATAAAGGTAGAAAATATAGTTTAGTGTTGTAAGAGAGCAAATGTAGATGATCAGGTGTGTGTGCCTGTAGACTATGCATTAATCCAAGCTAGACAAGGGCAATAAAACATCCACAAATTCAGAAGATTTCTCTCAAAACTCCTCTGCCCATTTTTTAATCATGTTATTTGTTTTTTTGGTGTTGAGTTTTATGAGTTCTTTACATATTTTGGATGTTAACCCCTTATCAGATGAATCATTTATGAATATATTCTCCCATACTGTCAGTTGCCACTGCTGGTGGTGACCTTTGCTGTACAGAAGCTTTTTAGTTTGATGTAGTCCCACTTGTTTGTTTTTTATTTTGTTTCCCTTACCTGACAAGATGTGTCCAGAAAAAAATTGCTCATGCTTATGTTCAAGAGATTTTTGTCTGTGTTTTCTTCTAAGAGTTTTATGGTTTCATGGCTTACATTCAGGGCTTTGATCCATTTCGATTTTACTTTTGTGTATGGAGTTAGACAATAATCCAGTTTCATTCTCTTACATGTAGCTGTCCAGTTTTGCCATCACCAGTTGTTGAAGACGCTGTCATTTTCCCATTGTATATCCATGCCTCCTTTATCATACCTTAATTGGCCTTATATGTGTGGGTTTATATCTGGGCTCTCTATTCTGTTCCATTGATCTGTGAGTCTGTTCTTGTGCTAGTACCAAATTGTTTTGTAGTAGAGCTTGATGTTAGAGGGCATAATCCTCCCAGCCTTGTTCTTCCTTCTCAGGATTGCTTTGCCTATTTGGGGTCTTTTGTGGTTCCATATGCATTTTAGAACTATTTGTTCTAGTTTGTTGAAGAATGCTGTTGGTTCCCTTTTGATAGGGATTGCATTGAATCTGTGGATTGCTTTAGGCAGGATGGCCATTTTGATAATACTAACTCATCCTATCTATGAGCCTCGGGTATATTTCCATCAATTTGTGTCTTCTTTAATTTCTCTCATGAGTGTTTTAGTTTTCAGAGTACAGGTCTTTCACCTCCTTAGTTACGTTTATTCTTACGTATTTTACTTTTTGATGCAATTGTGAATGGAATTGTTTTTCTGATTTCTCTTTCTGCTAGTTCATTGTTAGTATATAGGAATGCAGCAGACTTGAAGTATTAATTTTGTATGCTGCAACTTTGCTGAATCCTAGTTATTTGTTCTAATAGTTTTTTGGTGGAGTCTTTAGGGTTTTCTATATGCAATTAGTGACTGACTTTTTCCTTACCAATTTGGATGCTTTTTCTCTCTTTCTCTTTTCTGATTGCTATGGCTAGAACCTCCAGTGCTGTGTTGAATAAAAGTGGGGAGAGTGGATATCCTCTGATTCCTGATACTAGAGGAAAAGCTTTTAGCTTTTCACTACTAAGTGTGATGCTGACTGTGGGTTTGTCTTATATGGCCTTTGTTATATTGAAGTGCTTACCCTCTATACCCATTTTGTTGAGAGTCTTTATCATGAATAGATGTGGAATTTTGTCAGATAGATTTTCAGCATCTGTTGAGATGATCATGTGGTTTTTATCCTTTTTGTTAATGTGGTATATGATGTTTTTGGATTTATGAATATTGTACCATCCTTGCATCCCTGGAATAAATCCCACTTGGGCATGATGGATGATCTTCTTGATGAATTTTTAAGTGCAGTTTGCTAATATTTTGTTGAGTATTTTTACATCTATGTTCATCAGGGATATTGGTCTGTAATTTTCTTCTTTTGTAGTATCTTTGCCTAGTTTTGATATTAAAGTGATGCTGGCCTCATAGAATGAATTTAGATGTATTCCCTCCTCCCCTACTTTCTTGGAATACTTTAAAGCTTTGGTATTAGCTCTTCTTTAAATGTTGGTAGAATTCAGATGTGAAGCCATCTGTTCCTGGACTTTTGTTTTTAGGTGGTTTCTTGATTACCAGTTCAGTTTCATTACTGATAATTGGTCTGTCCAGATTTTCTGTTTCTTCCCTGGTCAAGCTTGGAGGTTGTTATTTTTCTAGGAATTTGTCCATTTCTTTTAGGTTGTCCAATTTGTTGGCATATAGTTTTTCATAGAATTCTCTAATAATTCTTTTTATTTCTGTGGTGTCTGTTGTGACCTCCTGTTCTGCTTCTGATTCTGTATATTTGTGTACCTGTTCTCATTTTATTGATTCATCTTGTTAAGGGTTTGTCTATTTTGTTTATTTTCTCAAAGAACCAGCTCTTAGCTTCATTTATTTTTTTTATATTTCTGCTCTGATCTTTATTGTATCCCACCTTTTACTCATACACCTTTGGGTTTCACATGTTCTTGTTTCTCTGTTTTTCTTAATTCTGAGTTTAGAGTGTTTGGGATTGTTCTTGTTTCTTGAGGTCAGCCTGTATCTAAGGAGGATTTGAATCCAGGTCTGTGTTACTACAAAGGACCCTTTCCACCTGTATTACTAACTATAGAAAATGTTTTCCATTTCCATTGCCTCTGTATTAAGCACAGCTTTTCTACAAAGAATACATACTTTCACTAGTATAGGTTTGGATAATAGAAGATATATAGAGTACAAAGAACCCTTCTGAAAACAAGTTTCAAATGATGATCCGTTGTGGATATACTGCCATGTTAGACTAGCAGTTTTGTCATTTTGCCTTCAGTGATGACCAGTTCTTTTCTCAACATGTAGTTAAACTGGTTTAAGGCAGTGTTTGCATGATGTATCTGTTATATAATGCTTTCACTTACTTGGTTAAGACACAGAAATTATAAAATCTTCTTAAACCTTATTTTCTGAACTTTAACATCCAAATCAGGTGAACAGACTATGGCTTGTGAACTAGTTTTTGTAAATAAAGTTTTATTGGAATATAGCCATGCATACCTATTTGCTTACTTACATGTTGTTTGTAAAGGGAGAGTTGAGCAATTTGCTACAGAGACCTTGGAGCTCCTGAGCCTAAAATATTTCCTGTCTGACCTCTATAGAAAAAGCTTGCAGATCCCTGATCTAAACAATAAAATCTTAAATCTTAGAAAAAAATTAGACTAACCTAAAAAAAAATCAAAGTAAATGCTTTTCTCCTAGTATATCCTGCTTTCAGTATCCCATAAACATTGTACATGCTTTTCTGTTCAACCTTTGAAATATTAAGCTACCTACAGGCCCAAATTGTGAGGGGCAGCCTGCCCTGAGAAAAAATACACAGGAGTGGAAATCTGGGAACCTGGGCTACAGTCTCACATTCTCTTGAAAAGTTGCCTGTAATTTTGGGTTATTATCTTAACCACTCTGGGCCTTTGTTTCATCATTGGTAAAATACTGGTTTAGACAAAAGGCTTAAGAGGTATAATTTTTGTATTTTGTATCTTCTTCATACTTCAATAAACTGCATCCCAGTGATTGGTTTTTAACATGGGGATACCAGTTCTTTAGGGATTTTACACAGGGATAATGTTTGCAGGGTACAGTGCTAACTTCTTGGTAACTTGGCTTGTTTCAGTACTGATAGTTTGTGGGGGTTTTGTTGTTCTTTTCTTTGTTTGCTTTTGTTTTCAACATGATCTATGTGGACACCTTGGGCAAGGAACTTTACTGTCTGTAAAAAGTTACTTTATTGCTGATTTTGTTTGCTTTGGGCTTTTCGTAACAGCATCTGTTACCATTCTTTGCATTACACAATAGGCCAAGTGTCTTTCTGTTCTAAAAGTGCCTGAGCCACAAATGATATGATTTTCATACTCTTTCATCTTCATGCTCAGACTGAGTCCTTTGTTCTTTCTGTGTACTTTGTGATTATATTATCTGTGCATAGATTTTTCTTAGCTTTGATTTATCATTGGCGTTTCCTTCCCCTTGATCGTTACGCAAAGTATAATAAATACACTGTTGATTTGCATTATTGCATCCTAGTGGTGTAGACATGCCTGGGCGCACACCCGTGTTCTCCAATTTCCTAGCTGGTTGACTGTGGTCAAGTTACTTAATTTCCATAACCCTTAGTTTCCGAGTCTGTAAATTATGAATAATAATAGTATCGCTTATAGGATTGATGTAAGATTTTAAAAGATAATGCCTCAGAAAATGCTTTAATACAGCGCCTGGCTCACAGTAAGGGGTTAATAAACATTAGTTGCTCTTACTATCATAATAATATTATTATTATTTATGATATTGTCAGGCCTAACAAAAAGGACAAATATTACTCATCTCCAGAAACAAGAACAAAAGCCTTCATTGAAATAGGTTATAGTCAACATAAAATTCTTTACATTGAAGTAAACACTCAGTTGAATATGTACCTGTTAAGAATGTTATCAAGGACAGCCTTGTTCTCTAGCTGGGCTTTCTAGAAAACTAAATAAAGCAAATAATTGTACAGTGTGATAATCAAAAAAGGATGTCTTTATAAATAACCTGAAAATAGTTCCCCAGGTACAACTTGAATAAAGGAAATAAACGGCAACTTGAGGTCACAGCAGAATTCCTTAGTATGATTCATTAGACACTGGAAACCCCAGCCCCATATTTTCTCATTCCCTCTTGGTTAGAAAAATTTACATTGAGGTAACATTACACTCTTGAAGTTATTTTCTTTAAAAAATTCTGGATTTAGATATTTAGTGTGTAACCTTGGGGCAGTTCCTAGGTTTTTAAAATGAGTTAAAAATTTTTGATGGGAATATTTGACAAAAATTCTTAGAAGCTGTCCTTATGACTAAAAATAGTTATTTTTGGTTCCTGTGCTTGGGTAGCAAATATAGTAATACTGTAGCATAATCATTTATATGCTGTAACACTAGCTACAAGAATTCCTTGATGGCTGAAGAGTAAGCATTTTTCATTGTTCTTTGTTATCCTCAAAATAAACATGGGAGAGTCTTCAGGCTCTTAATTCTCTTCTGTGGATAGTATTGCTCATGAGTAGAGTCAATTTAAATTAATTGGCTAATTATCCAGAAATTATTCCCTTTTGTGAGAATTACAAAAAAAGGGGGTAACTAAAAGAGTAAAACTGTTGAGTCTATTATCGTTTGGAAAATATTGCAAGTGTCATGTTTAAAAACATTCACTTTCATTAGACCCCCAGTTCCAAATGTGTTATGAGGATGGTTTTGTATTTTGCTCTTTACAGAACATTAAGTCAGAGTCTGGCCATCTCCTGAAATTCTGAGCTATGTTTTTATAGATTTGTTATTGTTAGCTTTAAAATGGATGTATAAGAATTGTGTGTATTAGGAACACATGTGTCTCTTTACTAGTACTCATAATACATTAGAGAACACCTAGCCACTGTTTTTAACTCTCAGATCACAACTCATTATTATTTTATCAAGTCAAAATAGTGAGTCATTGTAAGTCCGGAGAAAGTAAATCCCGGGGCAAAATACCCCTAAAAACCAAAATCAGTCAAAGGGAGAAATAAAGTTTAAAACCCGTTTATTGCTCACAAACTTCAGTCCCAGGTCGTCTTTCTTCTCTGCTCCAGCAGCAACAACACCGGCACCCCCCCACCCCATCTCTCAGGTACAGATAAGCCCTCTGTTGCCCAGGTAATCACACACTGATACGGAGATGAACTTCTCCACCCCTGAGGAAATATGCAAATGCACTAAAGCCATACTTCTTTCCACCTCTTAACTCCTATTGATATGCAGATATACTAAAGTTAGGCGAGATATTCTGGAAATGCTACAATTTTACCCACAATCCACCCCTTCCAGAAATCTCACCTTACAATTTACTCGATCTCCCTCTTCTGACCAATCTAGTAACATGCGATAGCAACAGCAATAAAATCTTGATAATCCTCAAGCCAGAGGATTCAGCCTATGCAGATTAAGTAAATGTACTTTACAGCACAATCTCTCACTAAACACAAAATACATTTCTACACTTGTTTACCCATTCTTAACAATCATGCTAGATTGCTCACAAAACTTTTACCAAACATTAGAAAAGTCATGCCTCTCTTTAAACATTATTTTCTTGTCAACTGCAACACAATCATAATTCACAAGCCAGAGGATTCAGCTAGGTTCAAAGTCCCATGCAGATTAAGTCCAAAGCTCGTCTATTCCAGCCATCACGCGGCAGCTGCAGCCAGGGGGTGCATCCAGGAAGCAAATAACCATGATTGTCGGAGCCCAATTTGCTGTTATTACAGGAATACACAGGCCAGCTTCCAGGCCTTTCCCCAAGGTGCCAGAAGAGCCAGCCATTGCTGATCCATGTGTTGAAATGTCCAGGGCCACGTCCATTTTACTCCTAATTGCTGCACCCATCCTTGCAACACATGTCCAATAAAGTGGGTACCTCGATTGCTCTCAGTAACTGGCGACCGATCATAGGCTGTAGAGAGACGCTCTAGGCCCCTGTTGGTGGTTTGCTGATCTGCACAATGTGCAGGCACTCCTTCCGGGCTCAGCTGGCTTCTTCAAAGGTGAAAGACAAGTCACACCAATGGGCCCACATTGTCTTTTGAGGTGTCTGTGCCATGCCACTCCATGACCTTTGGGTCCAGTCTCGCACCCACCCCACGATGGGATAGGAGGTTATTATCTTGGTCAGAGCTGTTCTGGCAATGGGCTCTGTAGCCAGCAAGGCGTGGTACACAGCAGCCAGTTGCTTCAGGGTGACCCGGACCTCTGCTTCTTTCCATGGTTGTGGCCAAGCTCCGGCTGGCAGCAAGAGCAGCAGCAGTAGCAGAAGCAGTAGCCTTAGGCTCAGGCCATGGGCTGGGGTCAGCGTGGCCAGCAGTGGTGGTGGCACCTCCACGATCACACAAGTGTAGACACATGTCCCTTGGCGTGAGCGCCACTTCTCCCCATCATTTCTAGGGGCGGCCCTCCCAAAGGTCGCATCCATTATGACAGATTTTGGGTTCACAGGAATCCTGCCAATACTACGCCAATTGTAAGTCTGAGGAAAGGAAATCCCAGGGCAAAATGCCCCTAAAAACCAAAATCAGTCAAAGGGAGAAATAAAGTTTATTGCTCACAAACTGCAGTCTCAATCCATGTTTCTTCTCTGCTCCAGCAGCCACAACACACCTGCCCTCCCCCTCACCTCTCAGGTACAGATAAGCCCTCTGTTGCCCAGGTAATTACCCACTGATATGGAGATGAACTTCACCCCTGAGGAAAGATGCAAATGCACTAAAGTCATACTTCTTTCCACCTCTTAACGCCTATTGATATGCAGATACACTAAAGCCAGGAGAGATATTCTAGAAATGCTACAATTTTACCCACAGTCATAAAACAGTAATTTTTAAAAAGTGGAATGGAATGTAACAAAATAGAAAATATCAGAATATATTGTACATAATAATAGTGATATTGTTTTGTTAAATTATGACTTATTTATATACCTATTATAAACACAAAATGTGTGTATGTTGAGTTGTATGAGCTGTGACATAAAAGTATATCTTGCTGTGGATTGTGGTTAAAAATAAGAAGTTTGAAATCCACCATCTTAGGTGATCTTTCTCTTCCCTAGTGACTAGTCCAGGTACTTTAATCTTTCTCTGTTGCTGTATCAGAGAAAATGGTAAATGCATACTAACTTTTTTAGAAAGCAGTAACAACTCATTAAGTGCCTGATGAATGAACATTCCCAGAAACTAGTATATTATCTTATGATTACTGTGATATCAGCTTTTTCTCATGTTTTGTTTTGTGTTATTTGTTTGTTTTGGGTTTGTGTATATGTCCAATCTTTTTATTTTAGAAAATATTGATGCTGATGGACAGGGATTTTGTCAAGGAGGATTCAGCATTGATTTTACTAAAGTAAGTTCTCATTTAAGGCTGAATGAGATCCAGATCTACATTATTACCTAAACCATGGTTAAAAATTAATTGGTCAGTACTTCAGCTTCTCTGTAACTGTTAACTGTTCTAGAAAACAGCTAATTAAAATGACCCATGCATTCTTTGCCTTATATTATTCTCTCCATAGTTGACATTTCTTATTTGAAATAGACATCAAAATGGGATTAGAGGACAACAGAAAATCTCAGTAAATGGAAGACAACTATTATGACTTAATGTTAAAATTTCCAGTTAGGTTAATTTGTAGAAAATTGAAATTTTCTATTTTTGAGTGACATGATTTTTTTACAAGCATTATTAATAGGAGCTTTATTACAAAATTAGAGTTTAGTTACATAAAAGCTGAGAAATATGCATGTTTACCATCTATTATGTGTCTACAGACATCAAATTTGAAGCAAATTTAACCCTTGTAAGAAATCTCAGATGCAGGGCTCAGTGTATTTTTAACTAAGCTTATGTGCTCTCCAGAGTTGATAGTTTTATCTATTTTTCTAAAATAAGAATTCCTTTTATATTTCCAAAGGAAAATTTTCTTAAGTACTTTTCTTTTTATCATTTTCTTATGTGTGTGTGGTTTTTTTTTTTGGTGGAATGTATGAACATTTTGATTATCAAATAGAGATTATTAATTACTCCTAGAGAGATCTCAAGAATATATTGATTGATTAAAAGTAGAGCTTCCTTAGAAATCTAAATACGGCTTTCTTAGAAAATGTGAGCAAACAAGAATGTCTTACATTTATTAAAACAACAAACTATAATCATGTTATTCATAAAAATTAAAACATTTTCTTATTTTTAAATTTATATTTCAACTTTTTTAACGGTTTTTTAGACTAGTGTTTAGTCACTCTCCTTACTAAGTAATTGACTTAAATTTTATTTGAAATTCATAATTCAAAATTACTCATAATTACTTACAATTCAAAGTTGGATAAGCAAAAGAAAGAAAAGGAAAGTATATTAAAATAAGTTTGAACTTCATGATATATTTTCAAATGGGTGTTGTATTTCTTTACAAGTCTCCATGTTTTCTGTGCCTATGCCTGTACAATCATACCCCCAGAAATAGTCTCATACTCTGAATAGTCACTGCTGAATTAACTGTTTACTTTCTTTAACTCATTTCTGAGAAAAGGTGTCATTTTAAAGCAGACAACTTAGAATATGTTTAAATAGAGTGGGAGATTTGTGTATTACATGCTTGAAAGAGCTGTATGTACATTTGCAGGGAAAAAAATTTTATCTTACCTCCAACAAGAAGTTTCCAAAATATGCTCAAACACTAAATACTTAGATACGTATAGTTTCTTACAGATATAAAAAATGATAAAGTATAATTTGTTATATAATGTACTCTGAAAATTTACCTCCTAACTTCACTCCTGTTAAGATCTGCAAGACACTAAGAATCATTTTCCTTTAGCCAAAAAATTTTTAACGGTTGTTACAAAGAAAATTTGCCTATGTAGTCACAAATGTAATACATAAAATTAAGGAGTGACTTTTTTCCTTATTGTAACCCAAAAATACCTTGCATTAATAATTCAGGACAAATGTGTAAAGCAGCCAAGAACCACAGGATCAATGTGTGTATATATATATATATTTGTATATTTTCATATACTAAATGAGTGTACTGTAACTTTCCTTTTTGATTTTTATTGTATTTTAGAAAAGGTGCAATGAAAATTACTGAAGCAGCACTAGATGAGTTTGAGATTTATGATTTTGCCATAACATATGTGTCATATATATATATACATGTGTATATATATTACAAGAATGTCTTACATTTATTAAAACAACAAACTATAATCATGTTATTCATAAAAATTAAAACATTTTCTTATTTTTAAATTTATATTTCAACTTTTTTAACGGTTTTTTAGACTAGTGTTTAGTCACTCTCCTTACTAAGTAATTGACTTAAATTTTATTTGAAATTCATAATTCAAAATTACTCATAATTACTTACAATTCAAAGTTGGATAAGCAAAAGAAAGAAAAGGAAAGTATATTAAAATAAGTTTGAACTTCATGATATATTTTCAAATGGGTGTTGTATTTCTTTACAAGTCTCCATGTTTTCTGTGCCTATGCCTGTACAATCATACCCCCAGAAATAGTCTCATACTCTGAATAGTCACTGCTGAATTAACTGTTTACTTTCTTTAACTCATTTCTGAGAAAAGGTGTCATTTTAAAGCAGACAACTTAGAATATGTTTAAATAGAGTGGGAGATTTGTGTATTACATGCTTGAAAGAGCTGTATGTACATTTGCAGGGAAAAAAATTTTATCTTACCTCCAACAAGAAGTTTCCAAAATATGCTCAAACACTAAATACTTAGATACGTATAGTTTCTTACAGATATAAAAAATGATAAAGTATAATTTGTTATATAATGTACTCTGAAAATTTACCTCCTAACTTCACTCCTGTTAAGATCTGCAAGACACTAAGAATCATTTTCCTTTAGCCAAAAAATTTTTAACGGTTGTTACAAAGAAAATTTGCCTATGTAGTCACAAATGTAATACATAAAATTAAGGAGTGACTTTTTTCCTTATTGTAACCCAAAAATACCTTGCATTAATAATTCAGGACAAATGTGTAAAGCAGCCAAGAACCACAGGATCAATGTGTGTATATATATATATATTTGTATATTTTCATATACTAAATGAGTGTACTGTAACTTTCCTTTTTGATTTTTATTGTATTTTAGAAAAGGTGCAATGAAAATTACTGAAGCAGCACTAGATGAGTTTGAGATTTATGATTTTGCCATAACATATGTGTCATATATATATATACATGTGTATATATATTTATTTACATTTATATTTTATATATTTTTATATTTATTACATTGCTTTCAGTTTTTAAGTCTACCTATTTTTTAAACTGTATCTTTTTTTTTTAAATTTAATCTAGGCTGATAGAGTACTTCTTGGGGGTCCTGGTAGCTTTTATTGGCAAGGTAGGTTAATATTTTTTAAATTACCCAGTAATGATTGTGTTTTCAGACACACCTGGCTTATAATGTGCCTATGAGATTTTTCAAACTATTTAAAGAATGAAATGGAAAAACACAATTATTCTATTTTTAAAAAGAACTATAACATCAATTTATAATGAGATATATATAAAAAATAACATTTTATAATGTATTTTTATACAGTATTTTAAAAGTAAACTTACAAAGTAATTTAAAGTAATTTACTTTTATTGCCTGTGGTATGTACTTCTCCATCTCTGTACTTTAGAGTTTGTGATTTAAACATCAAAAAGTATGTGGAACTGACCTGTAATGGGCAAATTCTGGCATTCTGAAAGCTCATGGTTTTGAAAATATTTTGAGTTTGCTCGTTAACAATATTTAAATGGTTATTTTTTCATTAATCACTGACATCAAGAATGATTTCTTTGTGTTTTGGGGAGTTTTTAAAATAGAGGATCTTACTAAGTTTCAAAAGAATGTAATTAGACTGGCATTGATGTAAAGATAAAACACTAGATTTTTCAGGCATTCTGGGAAACCTAATAAAATTGCCATTTGAACAAATGAATAGTATAGATCATTATTTGCTGCAGTTTGAAAATAGGTAACTAAATCTGCATATTTGCTTACTTTATATTTAATTTATCATTAAATATGTACACAATTATTTATGTAACTAATACATTCACCTATTTATTTTCTGCCAAAAAGTGCTGTTTACATGGTCAGAACTCTTATTTATTGGCATTCTGGTATTCAAGCATTATGAGTATTTGGAAGAACTGGAAAAAACTATGACTATTAATTTGGAAGTACTTTCTAATTATGAATTTTACTTCTGTATTTTACACTATGCTTCTCTATAGGAGAACCCATACTTGCTTTTGCTTTTTAGAAAGAAAAGCTAAAGAAAGAGATTTGCTGAAGGAAAGTAAGAAGGAATGAGAAATGAGAATTTTACTTATAAGTTGAAAGGGGTGGCAAAGGAGAGAAAGAAGAGAAAAATCAGGCAAAGATATATCAGGATGTGAGACATACTAACACTAAAATTTGAATTTCTATGAATTATACATCTGTTGGAAAATGAAATGATTTGGAAAATTATAATTGAGTTTTACCGTTTTAAAATGAAACCAAAAATAGCAGTTCTAATTGTATATGAGAAAATAGATATTAACACTTTCTAATTAAAAAACATGGGATATATTTTTCTTCCTTACTGCAAGGTATGGCATTCAGTGGAGGAAGGGAAGTGTCTGATGAGCGTGCCTGGGGACCAAAGACAGGTTTTTGTGATTCTTAGTCAGGATTGCTTGTTAAAGCTGTCATTTTAAGATACACAGCAGTAAACATATTTAAATGACTTGTTTTTTTAACACCTTGCATATTATACAATGTATGCATTCCTATTTATTATAAATTAGGACAGCTATAGATACTATTGATACTATGTTCACTGGAGTTTTGTTATAATGGTCTAGAATATGTAACAAAAGACTCAGTGGTTGGGCAGAGGAAATTTTGTTTTAATATGATTAAAAGCAGGTAGTGTTAGAATGAATTTTTCATAGATCTCAAAATTGTTTCTGTAAAAGTAAACTGATAACGTTGTTTTATTCCAAAGAGATGATGACTTTTCTTATGTTCTTTCATTCAAGAAATACTTACTGAATTCCTTCTGTGTTAAGTACTGTTTAGTTTAGGCACAGAGGATAAGCAGTGACCCAGATAGAAAGTGCTTTTTCCTCTAGAGAGTCAACCTGGGTGACTGGACAGATTGGAACAGGACTGAAAACTTTAGCTATTATGAATTTCTTTCTAAAACAGAAGAAATGAAGAAGTTATTTTCCCCATGTTATGTAGATGACATTTGATAAATCAGCAAACTTTCTTGGGGTAGGGGGATAATACGATTTTATGTAGTTATCTAGATTTCTTGTGTAATAAGGTTGTGAAGAATGGTGAACTCAGCCATTCAGGCTGCTTCATAAAGGTATCCAAGTAGCTCATTAAAAAGAAAATCAGTTGAACCAAATTATTCTTATTCTAAAGGCAAAAGCATTCAATTATTTCAGTAGGTTTTTCATTTTTTAATGGCTTTGGTTGGGAAACAGCCCTTGATATTATTACTACATTTTATTAACATTGATTTTTTTACTGAATTATGAGATATCCTATATTCATAAATTTTTGTTTATTAGCAGAGACTAATTTTAAGTACTAGCTTGAAAAGAAATAATTGCTTAAAAAATATCGTTTCAAATTTAGTATTATGAAGAGTTATTTAAGGCTGAAAATTAGAAATACTAATATCTAATGCTGTTTTCTTTCATGCAGGTGCCATCCATCTGCATCATAAAATTCTCATTAGAAACTTATTTTATATGCACTTTTTCAGGTCAGCTTATTTCAGATCAAGTGGCGGAAATTGTATCTAAATATGACCCCAAAGTTTACAGCATCAAGTATAATAACCAGTTAGCAACCCGGACTGCGCAAGCTATTTTTGATGACAGTTATTTGGGTAGGTAAAACCAAAATAGGGATGGTGTATTAGTCCTGTACTTTATGTGCTGCTTCAAGTAGGGAACTGGTTTCTGTGAAATTGATTAAAGTTTTTTTAAAAGATAAAGAACATGCAATTTCAAATTGTTAACTGCATACTTTTTCAGTAGCTAAAATTTAAGAGATTATTTATACAATGATAATAATAGATTATCTTTAAAATATGTTGTTATTCCCATTTTGTCGGTAAAGAAAATGAGGAACAAAGAGGCACAATAACTTGCCTAAAGTCACTCGCTTAGAACTTACTGTTCTGAGATTCAAACCCAGGCTGTCTGACCTTGCACTTTTATTCACTGTTACTCACCTTGTTAAACTTTGGTTTTTAGGATTTTTTAATCCTTTGTTCTCTCTAAGTTTCTCCTATCCATAATCCAAGTAACACCTGAGAGAAGTAGTGCTTTGCTGATTGAGAAAATGTTTTATTTGTTTGCTCCTTTATTGATGAATTGCTAAGATGCCTTTTTAAAAAATGACCTATAACATTATATTAGTTACAGGTATACAACATGATTCAGTATGTGTATACATTGCAAGATGATTACCACAAGTAGTTAAAGTCCATCACCACACAGTTACAATTTTTTTTCTTTATGATGAGAACTGTTAAGATCTACTTTTCAGCAACTTTCAATATATGGTACAGTATTATTAACCATAGGCACCATGCTATACATTCCCATTGTTTATTTATCTTGTGACTGGAAGTTTGTACCTTTCACCCCCCTACCACCTCTGGCAATCATCAGTCTAGTCTCTGTATCTGTGAGAAATTTACCCTCTTTTTAAGTGACTCTTGTAAAATTTATAAAACGTTCTTGTTTTTCTAATAGAGATACACTATTTGAGTACTAGGCTCAATTATTTCCTTTAAGATTCATTTATCTCATATATATATATGCATCTCTTAACACTAGAGGACAACATACTGTGTAACTAAAGGAATTGCTTGAGAATATTTTTGAGCAAAGCCTACTCAGCAAGTGTGTGAAGGTAACTGTTCCTGCCCTGATGGAGTTTCACCTTTGGTTCCCCATTTAGGTTACTCGGTGGCCGTCGGGGATTTCAATGGTGATGGCATAGATGGTATGATGCACTTGGATATATTTAATCCCTTTTTTTACAAGTGTAGACTAAACATTTGAAACGTTGCATTGAGGAATTTCAGGAGTTAAAGAGTTTTGAAACTACTATTATGGAATATAACAGGAGAAATAAGGGAGATGTTCGTATGTGGATGGCAGCTTGGTCTCCATTAAAGTCTAGCAGCTGCCGCTGCGGGGGCGGTGGTCTCCTCCCACCTGTTCTTTCCAGCCGCTGCCGTCCCAGTGTCTTCAGCTCCTTTTGCTTCCAGCAAATGCAGTCTTGGGGAGGCTTAGTTTCTTCTTTCTTCAGATATAATTTGTGACTTTCTGGGTTCTGTCTGTAAGGGACCCCTTCCTCTCTCTGTCCATCCATCTTCCTGCAGAGCTCAGTTTAGGAATCATAGAATTTATCTGTTCTGATCACATTCTTGTGCCACTGACACCTCTACCCTGGTTCAGTTTGTTCTGTATTATGTGTAACTGTGAAGCAGAGCTTCTCTTCGTTCTTAGGTCACCCTATCTAATCTCTCCTTTTAGCAAGATTATACATTCCTTGAGGGCATGCATGCATTTATTTGAGGATCCTCATAAAGCTTTCTATATTTCATAAGCATTTGATTTTGTGATTAAAAACTGGAGTACTGCATTATTATGGAGTACCACTTTTTAAAAAATCTCTCACTTACTTGCTACTGAAATAACAACACAAGACTTAAAGCTTTCTGACATATCTACTGCCTCCTGCAGTTTCCAGTGTTGGTCTTAAAAATGAGTAATTACGTGTTTTCTTTTCAGACTTTGTTTCAGGAGTTCCAAGAGCAGCAAGGACTTTGGGAATGGTAGGAAAATTAAAAGGTGTTTTTAAAAATTTCTTGGGTATCTTATATTTTACTGTATCTCATATATTTTCATTTTTCCTATATAGGTTTATATTTATGATGGGAAAAACATGTCCTCCTTACACAATTTCACTGGTGAGCAGGTATGCTTTTAAAGTGTTGTGTGTTTTTTTTTTCACTTAGCAGTTTAACACCAGCATTTCCTAATGTCTGAAAACTTCTTCATGGCAATATCATAATGGTTTAGTATATAATATATAAGGAATACTGGTTTTATATTCAATATTATAAATATAAAATGAGCTTTAAAAAGTTCACCTTGGTTTTAACGATAACCAAAATAATTTGCATACGCAAAGCCTTTTGTAATTGCATATTATGGCTTGTTTTTGTTTTTTCAAGGAAATACTCAAATTGCACATGAACATGTCACACACACACACAACCACGGAAACTTTCTTTTACTATGCTGATGACATTAAAATTTCCTTTAAGGAATGATTTATGCCTTTTAATTTTACTAGATACAAAGCAAAGCATGGCAGAGGTGCGTGTATTATAGATACTAAAAGTAAACTTCATTTGTGCATGAAATAAAACATTCTTTAGTTAAAAAGTCAAGTAGTACTAGACATCCTCTATATATAGTTATTTAATAATATCCTGTATTATATGTCTCAGAATTAAATGACAAGTTAGAAATGATAAAGGAAAAATTAACCAGTAGGTACAATAAAAACAAATGTCTCCTAGTTTGCAGATCCAGGATTCAAGTCCACTTATTGTTCAGTAGAGATTGTTGGGTTTCACGAGAGAAGTGATAGAATAAGGACTTGGACTGATGATAGTCCCTGGAAATCTCTTCCCATTTGTGTGGCAGTTTGAGTTGATGCACAGCATGGAGTGGCATGTAGTTGACAGGCCAGTAGGGTTGTGACAGGGGTGGTTATTCGTTTGTGTGGCTGTGACTTCTTCATGTCAGGCATCTTCTTGTGTGGGCTCTGGATCATGGTGCATGCATTCCGTGAGGCTTTCTATGTTCCCTCCAAGTTATTTTATGGGGGAAAAACATAAAATAGGACAGACCCTATTCACAAAGTTAGGACAGACCCAGGCTCTCCATACACCATTCATTTCAGTGGATTACCACTATAAATCTGGTGGCTCATTTATAAAATGGGGATACTGGTAACCTCTTCATGGGGTTGAAGTAAGAATCAAATATTACAGTCATGGTGGCCAGGTGAAACTTCCTCAGTAAATGTCTTTCTTCCTTTACACTTTCAGGCAGCCCAGGAAGAGTATTTATTCTGTTAGATTCTGGTCAACACATCAATATTTGATATACTTTATCATACATGCTGTCATCTTATAATTGAATACAGACTGTGCCTTTCTTTTTCTCAATCCTGCTATGTCAACCCAAAGTGGATAATGTAGGACCCTCCCTTACATTTCCTCCCGATAGCTCAGCTAATCAAATTTTGGAAGCTCTGCTAACTTTCCTCTCTTTGGTTTGTTGACTCATTTTTCACCTTAGTTCATCTTTAACTTGTCATCTCTCCTGGTTTTGCTTTGAATGTTGGGCTATCTTTAGAACTTTCCTTTTTCACATTATTTCCAGCCAGGCTGCTTTCTTTGTGATGACCAGCATTCTCCTATGGTGGGAGAGAGGACATTCCTTCTCCGTCCACTTATTAAGCCTGTCATAAACCCAGAAACATCCATACTATGTGTAATTCAAGAGCAGACCCACAGGAAGTCGTCATCAATTGAGATGTGAGACAAAATGAGCTCATTCCATATGGTCCCAAGCAGTAGTTGCTTTAGAGTAACCGGAGTTTCACATAGAGAGCACCAGTTGTGATCTGTTAATAATTATTATCTATTATCTTTATTGCATAGACTTCCATTTATAACTTCTTGGGCTCAATTAAAACATCTGTTTGTGCCTCTGCATCTTTCTGATAGTGTGTATCTGGCATCTTTTGGGTAGCAGAGAGGAAAGAATAGGTTAGGTCTAGGAAGGAGCATTGATTGTATTTGGACTTACATGGCATGTGTTGAAGACACTGAAATGGTAAACATGGGATATGTTTTGCCCAGAAAATAAACGAGCTTCATTATCTGATTGTCACTGTGTTGGTAGAGTAAACAAAAGAGAAGAAATTTAGATTGAAGCAGTATATGCACAGAAAACAATAGCCCTTTCTACTTGATAAACATACTACAAATATTAGTTGTCTGAAGTAGTTGGATGAAATGTAAACATTTCATTTTCATTTTGTTATACAGATGGCTGCATATTTTGGATTTTCTGTCGCTGCCACTGACATTAATGGGGATAAGTAAGTTTAAAAAATACTTCCAGAAACAGTTTTCCTTTCATGTTTATGAACGTTTTACTAAAACTAAGCATTTTTTTCTCAATTTTTATGTCCCCTCCTGGCTAATCTTTCTACTTAAGGAACCACTTTGAAGCAGCCTTATCAACTGCTAGAAAACTTCTGTGTTGTTCATAATTCCTTTCAATAGCTTTTATAATATGAAGGAATAAAGTGATTTTTGTGAATTACTTACAGTTTCTTAAATGTGTTGCAGAAAGGATTAAATTTGAAATGATCATTTTTTGCTTTGGTGTGGCTGTGAGAGATGTGGAAAGAGGGGGAAACTGACTTCTAATAAGAAAGGAAATGACTAATAATCAGATGGAATTTAATCATGCTTTAGTGAAAAATATTCTTTTCTTTTAGTTTTGCAGATGTGTTTATTGGAGCACCTCTCTTCATGGATCGTGGTTCTGACGGCAAACTCCAAGAAGTAGGGCAGGTCTCAGTGTCTCTGCAGAGAGCTTCGGGAGAATTCCAGACCACCAAGTTGAATGGGTTTGAGGTCTTCGCGAGGTTTGGCAGTGCCATAGCACCTTTGGGAGATCTGGACCAGGATGGCTTCAGTGGTAAGATCAGAGTTCAGCAACTGTGAGCCCCTCATTATCTGTGTCCAACTGTAAAATCCTGTACCCTCATCTGTAGAAGTTTATGTGAGCAGACCTCCTTCTGGAAAGGATTTGAGTGATAGTAGTGACATCTCCAGTTAAGTGACAGATTACTCTTTTTTTTTTAACAATCGGAGCAAAAATTTCAAAACTCAATTCGTATTATTCATGCAGCCTCATTAGGTTTTTGGCTGCTTAATTTCTGAAAGGAAACCTGCATTCTGGGGAAGTCCAGGTGACCTGGTCATTTTCTGTCTCTGTCCTGCTTTGCAGGAGTGCCCTCTGCTGTCCATTTAGATACAAGTGTAAAAAATGCTTGGAGGCACATTGTCAAAGTGTTGCAAACTCTAAGGTATTAAAGGTATGATTTGCCATTAATAATTTTAAAGCCGTAAGTCTGTTATGGCTGTCTAAGTTATTCTAAGGGAAGTGATATCTCCCTTCATGGGGGCATATCAAAAGTATAATTGTTTTATAATAGTCCCATGTAATAATTTAATAAATAGCTGTAGATAAAAGATCAAAATTGGCTTTCACTACACAATAAAATATGTATTACAAATTGCCAAGTTTTTTTAAAAAGAATACTATTAAAAACCTTTCTAGAGACCACAAAATAGACAGTTGATAAACTCATACATTTAAATACATATAAATGATATATAAATGTATATTATAAATATACCAAGAGAATTTAACATAAATCAAATGGAACTCTGGTATAAAGTTCAAAATAGAACTTGAAAAGAATACCAGAGAACAGATCAAACCATTACTTATTGATAACAAAAGCTACCTTGCAAACACAGGGCCAAATGTGAGGTGCAACCTTGAATAAGTTTAATGAGCTCTTACTATAGCTGGGCGGAGAGCCTGGACAAGTTTACTGTCACTTTGTTTTGAGGATATTTTAGCCACTTTATAGAGCATCTTCTCAATATCCTGATCCAGCCAACATCTCAACCTGCTTTCTATATTTTCATTAAATGTATTATTTGTGAACATAACAATTCTAAACAACAGCTGAAAAACACTGATATTTTACGAAGAGACTTTACTGTTAGAGATACCGTAGAGGATAACTTTGTTCTCCCACAGTTTCTCCTAGGGTCTCACTGATTGTTCCAAATGGGAGATTGTGAATGTAATGTCTTCAGTGGAACTTGATCTAAGCCATATTTATATATGTATGCATAAACTCATAGTTTATATGTATGTATAGTTTATATTCAAAGTGAACTATTATAACCTGGGTCTTTTCTTTGTTCAGAGCTCATGAGATTTACCCTTTGTTATGCTGTTGCTCCTATATTCCTCCCTTCCACTTAATGCAAAAACCCTAGTTATCATCAAGAGAGATACTGAGAAAACAACAAGAAAGTTGCGTTCCACAGTTATGTGCCTTTTTTGCCAATACCCCTGCAGAAGGACAGAGGGGAAAAAAACATAGCAGAGAGCAACTGAAATGATCAAAGGAGGAAGTTATTTGAATGAAAAGTAGGACTCTCCAGACTGGACAGATATTATTAAGAGAAGATATTATTAAAATGTATGAAATAATGAAAATTTTAGAAAAGTTAAAGGTAATTTTTACTTAGTGATTTCTCGACATTAGAGCCATCTTCTGTTGGAAAATTGTATTTTAATAAATACTTAATGTATGTGGTCAATTTAGAAGTTATGCTTTTCTTTTGAAACTTAACAAAGGATAAAGAAGGACTCTCACATAACTTAAATGCTACTTTCTTTTTAAGGAAAATGGACTCTCAGTTGGTGCTTACTGCAGGCCAAGCACTGGACTGAGTACTAAGATAGAGCCTTTCCATGTCTTTAAGGAATTTAGCATCAGTAGAGGCAACTTTTATGTACAAGTGAACACTAGAATGTAATCATTGCAGTGTTTAAAATACCCCTGGGCATAACGGTCTTACATAAGAGATCAAAGTGTCTTTGATGTCTTAGAGGATGTCTAAGGAAATTGAGGGTGTTGGGAATGGCTGGTATCTCATAAAATGTTTTGTGGAGGAACCATAGAGTAAACACATAATGGGGAAATTCAGGTAATGATAAAGGCTGGGTTAAAATAAAACAAAAAAGGTCAAGGTAATGGGATAGAATGCCTACAGAGAGTGTGATCGAGAGGGGAGAGTCGAGAGGGGAGAGTCATTGTTTCATAGTGTGGCCAGGGAAGACTTCTCTGAGAAGATGACATTTGATCTATGATTTGGACAAACAGAAGAAGCAAAGCTTAGACCCCTGAGCCAGAGGCATTAAGGCAGAAGGAAAAGCAAGCATAAACCCAGAAATGGGAACTAGTTCAATGTGTTTAAGAAACAGAAGAAGGCCAGGATTGGTAGGAAGAGTGAGTAAGGGTAAGAAAGGGGAATGGGGGGCTGTGGAGTAAGGAGGGGAAGGAATGAGTGGACAAACCAGATAACATTTAGATGCTTTGGGAAACAGTGGAAAGATTTTTAAAGGGAGGTGATGTGATACTAACATTTGGCAATTTGGAGGAGAATGGAATATAGGGGCAAGAGTAGATAGAAGTGGTGCAATGTGAACTTTCTAACAGCAAACCTGTATTAAGATATCTCCATATACATAAGTACTAAGACTTCCTTATCTCTGCCCCGGGCTGCCTCCTCTCCTTTCTGCTTTCCTCCCCTTTCCCCTTCTTCCTGTTTTTACTTATCACCGTCTCTTTCCCCTTCCCCTCCTTTTTCCCCACAGATATTGCAATTGCTGCTCCATATGGAGGTGAAGATAAAAAAGGAATTGTTTATATTTTCAATGGGAGATCAACAGGCTTGAATTCGGTACCATCTCAAATCCTCGAAGGGAAGTGGGCTGCTCGGAGCATGCCACCAAGCTTTGGCTATTCAATGAAAGGGGCCACGGATATAGACAAAAATGGATATCCAGGTGCTTTCCTAGAAACACAGAAAGTTTCTTAGATTTTTTTACTCCTAATGGCAAATAGTCCTATTGCTCTCTTGACTTAATGTTATAAATCATTTCAGTTCAATATATTAAGTTTTGTGCAAGCCCCTACTGTACTCTTGTTACTAAAGGGGATTGAATCAAAGACAGCTCCATTTCCTGGGAGCTTCTAATGTAAAACACATACTCTGAGTTTTTCTTTTTTTTCTTTTTTAAGTCTGTAATGAAATGTCAGAGGAAAATACTGCAGAAGCATAAGCAAAAGTAAATGCTCATTCTAAGTTGTTAAATGTCAACAATTGTTTCTGTTGTTTTGAATGGTCTAGCAATTTTTTGGACTCGACTAATCATGATTTTTAAATCATATATTATCTCAATTTAAATCTCCCAGTAAGGTTGGTGAGGAATATAATCTAGCTCAGCTCATTATTATACCATTTTCTGGATAAGAAAAGAGATGGAGAAAAGTGATTTGCCCAACATTGCCCATTGGTTTGAGCCAACGCAGGAAGTGAGGACTTTTTTGGCTCTTAAATACTTTGGAGTATAATAATGGATCTGGGATCATAGTGGATCTATTCTGTAAATGAAATGCAGTGCAGAAAATGTGGATGACCTTTGTTGTTGAAACAGTTAATATGAACTCAATATAGATGTAGAAGAGCTTTTAGAAATGGGATTTGAGATTGATTTTTATATATGGTAGTATTATTTCAAGAGATTTTTGGTTATAAATGCAATATGTTTGTTACAGAACTTTTAGAAAACACAGCCAGGCATATGTCTGAATCTTTTTTTCCAGTGCATTCACACATTTTTTTAAAACAAAGTAGAATTATGTGTTATGCACTGTTACTGTTAAAACCATATTTTATTCACTTAAAGTATAAGACACATTTCCTATATTAATCATTCTTCTCCTAAAACATGAATTTTATGTTTTCCGTTCTATCAGATGACTGTGTTGTACCTTATTTAAGTATATTTGGGGCACTTATGTCCTTGTATATGATTCTCATGCAAACCCGTTTTTCCTTAGGATAAGAATTCTAGAATTGCTGTCAGATGTGTGCCTTTGTTTTTCTTTAAGGCTGTTGATACATACTGTCCAATTACAATCTCACTCCCTCCAAAAGAAGGCTTTGCAACTTTTTTAGTCACCAGTAGTGAGTGATCATTTTCCCACATTTGTGCCTACACGTGTTATCTTTTGTCACTTGTTACTTTTAAGATAACTTTAAACTGTGTGAGAGGTGGATAATGTTATTTTAATTTGAAGTTTTTGATTATTAGAATAAACAATTTTATTTGCATATATATATTTTGTGAATTTACTTCTTACATCTTTTTCTCTCCATTTCTATTGGAATATTATTTTTCTTTTCTCTCATTAATTTTATTTTATTTTACTTGTGAGAGTGCCTTAAATACTGAGGACATTAACTTCTTAACAGTTACAGGACATATTTCTCAGTTTGTCACACTTGCCTTTTTGGGCATGAAGAAGTTCTTAATTTTTATGTAACCTAATTTACCTGTCTGTATGGTTCCTCACATGCTTTTCTACTTAGAGAGGGCTTCCTCAAATACAGCTTGCGTTTACTGTGAGAAAACTCTGATTTCATTTTTTCTTCACTGAATCAGTTGTACCAGCTACATATGAAAACTAATTCATTCAGTTCTTATTGAGTTGAATGCTATCCGCTCTCATTCTAAATACTCTAAGTACATGTAATAATGTGCCTTTTTGGTTTTGTTTTGTTTTTGAAACAAAATGATTACATTTTTTTTTAAGTTTACAATGAAATTGTGAAATCCACAGGCACCTATACAGCTTTGTATATGTGTATTTGTGTGGTATTTACTTATTATTGCTGATTTTGACTAAGTATCCATCAAAAAGATTCATGTCTGATTGGTTGAAAGATTCATTTTATGATGAGCATTTGCCTTTGTTGGTAGATTATTTGGAGCTTTTGCATACTTTAACCTTTTAAGTGTTATCTTTTAACCAACCACATAATAGGGAATAGTTTTAAGACTTCTCTCTAAATCTTTATTATATGCACTGAAAGTTTTATAAGATGGTATGTGAATTTTAAAAACCACAGTAATTGTTATTATTAACATGCTTTTCCTACTCTCTTTTAAGACCTCATTGTAGGAGCTTTTGGTGTAGACAGAGCTGTATTATACAGGTGAGTGTGTTTCCATATCCTGTAATATAGGAATATTCTGAATTATTTGAAAGTTTTATAGTTAAGCACCACTGTTTGAATTTCAGTTTAGTTTTCTTTAAGTAATGACAAAATTTGTTCTTTCTCTTCAAGATTTGCTATAGGAAAGTAGTAAGGCAGGTATAAGTAGATCCTTAACTAAAGAAAGCAGTAGATTTTTAATTTAGAAAAACACTCAAAGTTGTCCCTCTTTGTTCTTTAAATTCTGTTCAAAGATATCTTTGTTTTAAGTCACTCTTTAAAAATTGTGAGTTTACATTTTTCTCTAAGAGGCAAGAAATTAACTTGGTGTTTGTGCCACAGTATTCTGTGACCATAAGGGCAATATTAATGTCTCCCAAAATGAGCATTTTCATTAAAGCAATATACATAAATCCAGATTCATAGGTATTTCCAGTTATTCCCCATATTCCTCAATAACTCATGCCTTAGAATACTTCTGGCATCCCAAGTAGATTAAGGTATTCACTCTTCTGTGGACTGCATTTATGCACGGTGGAACACCTAACCTTGGCACCACGTAATGGAGTCTACGGTGGGTCAAGCTGATGGTGGCTCTCGGGGCAGTGTGTGTCCATACAGATTCCTGGGTTTATCATGATGACACAGCCACACTGACCCGAGACCACTGTATTTTTGTACAGAGTTTAACCCTGTGCGTCTGAACTCTGGAAAACTGTGTTTAATTTATTGTTTGACTTTTTTTTTTTTTTAGAAGGCATCTCTCATATTTATTGATCAAATGGTTGTTAACAACAATAAAATTCTGTATAGGGGAGTCAATGCTCAATGCACAATCATTAATCCACCCCAAGCCTAACTTTCATCAGTCTCCAATCTTCTGAAGCATAACGAACAAGTTCTTACATGGTGAACAAATTCTTACATAGTGAATAAGTTCTTACATGGTGAACAGTACAAGGGCAGTCATCACAGAAACTTTTGGTTTTGATCATGCAATATGACCTATAAACCATCAGGTCAAATATGAATATTCATTTGATTTTTGTACTTGATTTATATGTTGATCCCACATTTCTCCTATTATTATTATTATTTTTATTTTTAATAAAATGCTGAAGTGGTAGGTAGATGCAAGATAAAGGTAGAAAACATAGTTTAGTGCTGTAAGAGGGCAAATGTAGATGATCAGATGATCAGGTGTGTGCCTATGGACTAAGTATTAATCCAGGCTAGACAAGGGCAGCAAGACATCCACGGATGCAGAAGATTTCTCTCAAAGCAGGGGGGGTGAGGTTCTGAGCCTCACCTCTGTTGATCCCCAAATTCTCACCTGATGGCCCCCCTGCGACTGTGCCTGTCTTAGGTTGTTCCTCCCTTGAGGAATCTTACCCGTCTCTGGCTAACCAGTCATCTTCCGGGGCCATACAGGGAAATGTAAAGTTGGTAAGTGAGAGAGAAGCCATATTGTTTGCAAAGGTTAGCTTTTTACTTCTTTGCAGATTTATGCCCTGTGGCTTCTATGCCCAGCACTTGTCTCGAGGTATCTTTACCACCTGGAGGAATTATGATACTCGGTAAATTCGATATGAGGCACGAATTCTATTTAAGGGTTGTAATTAGGAAGGAAGAAGAAAAGCTATAGATGTAGCATATGAAGGAAACTTGGGAGGATTGATTATTTCTTTGACATATCTTCTTGTATAGTACCTTAAGTATGTATAGGTTTTAAACTACTAACTAATTTGCACACACATATTAACATAATAGGAATACGGTGACATAAACAAAGCAAATCTATAATTACCAGCCATCTCCAGTGAAGCCAAGAAAACCATTTAGGCACCCTAGGCATTTGTGAAAATTTATCTATGATATGATGGATATTTTCCAACTGTACTTGAACCATCAGACAAATTAAAGCAGCCCATTTCTGGGATCTGTTCACATCCCATATGTTCTTTTAACCATAGATAGTCTATAGTCATGAGATTTTGGGGTGCTACAACTTGCACCCCTCCCAACTCCTGGTTGAGTTCCAACAGTACAGATCCAGTCAAATTCGTTGTCTCACTGTATGCACATGCCAGCCTAGACATCTCCCTCCTCCTTCTTATGGCAAGTCCAGGAGACGGTGGGCTGGATGCAGCCACAACCGCAGCATCGTCCGGATCCCTGTGGAGGCTTTTTGATGATCATCCCCCGGCACGAGTCCTCCAGAGAGTGCTGATGCCGGAAGCTCCTCCTCATATCGTATCTTAGTTCATTTTCTGGGTATCCAAGCTAGGCCTTGATCTTCTGCGTAGAAACAAACAGACCCTTTGCCCACACTTTGACATGCCCTCTATACCACTGTGCAGAACTCATTGGAGGTCAGCACACAGTAACTGCTTTTTTTTTTTTTTTTTAATAAGAGAAAGGAATATTATCAGAAAAGAGTACCTCCATAGCTGATCATCTGACACCCTTTAAGTGATCAACATTAAGGATATTTAAAGCATGCGTTGATCTTTGATTTACCAATAGTTTTATCCTGTTAAGGAGTAATCCCCCTTTTCTTTCTTTCTTTCTTTTTTTTTTTTAAATTTTTAATCTACACTTACCTGAAGAATACTATGTTTACTATGCTCTCCCCTATATCAGGTCCCCCCTAACAACCACATTACGGTTACTGTCCATCAGCTTAGCAAAATGTTGTAGAGTCACTACTTGTCCTCTCTGTGTTGTGCAGCCCACCCTCCCCTTTCTCCCTCCCCCCCATGCATGCTAATCTTAATACCCCCCTTCTTCTTCCCCCCCCTTATCCCTCCCTGCCCACCCATCCTCCCCAGTTCCTTTCCCTTTGGTACCTGTTAGTCCATTTTTGGGTTCTGTAATTCTGCTGCTGTTTTGTTCCTTCAGTTTTTCCTTTGTTCCTATACTCCTCAGATGAGTGAAATCATTTGGTATTTCTCTTTCTCCGCTTGGCTTATTTCACTGAGCATAATACTCTCCAGCTCCATCCATGTTGCTGCAAATGGTTGGATTTTTCCACTTCTTATGGCTGAGTAGTATTCCATTGTGTATATGTACCACATCTTCTTTATCCATTCATCTACCGATGGACATTTAGGTTGCTTCCAATTCTTGGCTATTGTAAATAGTGCTGCGATAAACATAGGAGTGCATCTGTCTTTCTCAAACTTGATTGCTGCGTTCTTAGGGTAAATTCCTAGGAGTGGAATTCCTGGGTCAAATGGTAGGTCTGTTTTGAGCATTTTGATGCACCTCCATACTGCTTTCCACAATGGTTGAACTAATTTACATTCCCACCAGCAGTGTAGGAGGGTTCCCCTTTCTCCACAGCCTCGCCAACATTTGTTGTTGTTTGTCTTTTGGATGGCAGCTATCCTTACTGGTGTGAGGTGATACCTCATTGTAGTTTTAATTTGCATTTCTCTGATAATTAGCGATGTGGAGCATCTTTTCATGTGTCTCTTGGCCATCTGTATTTCTTTTTTGGAGAACTGTCTGTTCAGTTCCTCTGCCCATTTTTTAATTGGGTTATTTGTTTTTTGTTTGTTGAGGCGTGTGAGCTCTTTATATATTCTGGACGTCAAGCCTTTATCAGATCTGTCATTTTCAAATATATTCTCCCATACTGTAGGGTTCCTTTTTGTTCTATTGATGGTGTCTTTCGCTGTACAGAAGCTTTTCAGCTTAATGTAGTCCCACTTGCTCATTTTTGCTGTTGTTTTCCTTGCCCGGGGAGATATGTTCAAGAAGAGATCACTCATGTTTATGTCTAAGAGGTTTTTGCCTATGTTTTTTTCCAAGAGTTTAATGGTTTCGTGACTTACATTCAGGTCTTTGATCCATTTTGAGTTTACCTTTGTATATGGGGTTAGACAATGGTCCAGTTTCATTCTCCTACATGTAGCTGTCCAGTTTTGCCAGCACCATCTGTTGAAGAGACTGTCATTTTGCCATTGTATGTCCATGGCTCCTTTATCAAATATTAATTGACCATATATGTTTGGGTTAATTTCTGGGGTCTCTAATCTGTTCCACTGGTCTGTGGCTCTGTTCTTGTGCCAGTACCAAATTGTCTTGATTACTATGGCTTTGTAGTAGAGCTTGAAGTTGGGGAGTGAGATCCCCCCTACTTTATTCTTCTTTTTCAGGATTGCTTTGGCTATTCGGGGTCTTTGGTGTTTCCATATGAATTTTTGAATTATTTGTTCCAATTCATTGAAGAATGTTGCTGGTAATTTGAGAGGGATTGCATCAAATCTGTATATTGCTTTGGGCAGGATGGCCATTTTGACGATATTAATTCTTCCTAGCCATGAGCATGGGATGAGTTTCCATTTATTAGTGTCCCCTTTAATTTCTCTTAAGAGTGACTTGTAGTTTTCAGAGTATAAGTCTTTCACTTCCTTGGTTAGGTTTATTCCTAGGTATTTTATTCTTTTTGATGCAATGGTGAATGGAATTGTTTTCCTGATTTCTCTTTCTATTGATTCGTTGTTAGTGTATAGGAAAGCTACAGATTTCTGTGTGTTGATTTTGTATCCTGCAACTTTGCTGTATTCCGATATCAGTTCTAGTAGTTTTGGAGTGGAGTCTTTAGGGTTTTTTATGTACAGTATCATATCATCTGCAAATAGTGACAGTTTAACTTCTTCTTTACCAATCTGGATTCCTTGTATTTCTTTGTTTTGTCTGATTGCCGTGGCTAGGACCTCCAGTACTATGTTAAATAACAGTGGGGAGAGTGGGCATCCCTGTCTGGTTCCCGATCTCAGTGGAAATGCTTTCAGCTTCTCGCTGTTCAGTATAATGCTGGCTGTGGGTTTATCATATATGGCCTTTATTATGTTGAGGTACTTGCCCTCTATTCCCATTTTGCTGAGAGTTTTTATCATGAATGGATGTTGAATTTTGTCAAATGCTTTTTCAGCATCTATGGAGATGATCATGTGGTTTTTGTCTTTCTTTTTGTTGATGTGGTGGATGATGTTGATGGATTTTCGAATGTTGTACCATCCTTGCATCCCTGGGATGAACCCCACTTGGTCATGGTGTATGATCCTTTTGATATACTGTTGAATTCTGTTTGCTAATATTTTATTGAGTATTTTTGCATCTACATTCATCAGGGATATTGGTCTGTAATTTTCTTTTTTGGTGGGGTCTTTGCCTGGTTTTGGTATTAGGGTGATGTTGGCTTCATAGAATGAGTTTGGGAGTATTCCCTCTTCTTCTATTTTGTGGAACACTTTAAGGAGAATGGGTATTATGTCTTCTCTGTGTGTCTGATAAAATTCCGAGGTAAATCCGTCCGGCCCCGGGGTTTTGTTCTTGGGTAGTTTTTTGATTACTGTTTCAATTTCTTTGCTTGTAATTGGTTTGTTTAACTTTTGTGTTTCTTCCTTGGTCAGTCTTGGGAGGTTGTATTTTTCTAGGAAGTTGTCCATTTCTTCTAGGTTTTCCAGCTTGTTGGCATATAGGTTTTCATAGTAGTCTTTAATAATTCTTTGTATTTCTGTGGAGTCTGTCGTGATTTTTCCATTCTCATTTCTGATTATGTTGATTTGTGTTGACTCTCTTTTTCTCTTAATAAGTTGGGCTAGAGGCTTATCTATTTTGTTTATTTTCTCAAAGAACCAGCTCTTGGTTTCGTTGATTTTTGCTATTGTTTTATTCTTCTCAATTTTGTTTATTTCTTCTCTGATCTTTATTATGTCCCTCCTTCTGCTGACTTTAGGCCTCATTTGTTCTTCTTTTTCCAGTTTTAATAATTGTGATGTTAGACTATTCATTTGGGATTGTTCTTCCTTCTTCAAGTGTGCCTGGATTGCTATATACTTTCCTCTTAAGACTGCTTTCGCTGCATCCCACAGAAGTTGGGGCTTAGTGTTGTTGTTGTCATTTGTTTCTATATATTCCTTGATCTCTATTTTGATTTGTTCATTGATCCATTGATTATTTAGTAGCATGTTGTTAAGCCTCCATGTGTTTGTGAGCCTTTTTGTTTTCTTTGTAGAATTTATTTCTACTTTCATACCTTTGTGGTCTGAAAAATTGGTTGGTAGAATTTCAATATTGTGGAATTTACTGAGGCTCTTTTTGTGAGCTAGTATGTGGTCTATTCTGGAGAATGTTCCATGTGCACTTGAGAAGAATGTATATCCTGTTGCTTTTGGATGTAAAGTTCTATAGATGTCTATTAGGTCCATCTGTTCTAGTGTGTTGTTCAGTGCCTGTGTGTCTTTACTTATTTTCTGCCCGGTGGATCTATCCTTTGGGGTGAGTGGTGTGTTGAAGTCTCCTACAATGAATGCATTGCAGTCTATTTCCCTCTTTAGTTCTGTTAGTATTTGCTTCACATATGCTGGTGCTCCTGTATTGGGTGCATATATATTTAGAATGGTTATATCCTCTTGTTGGACTAAGCCCTTTATCATTATGTAGTGGCCTTCTTTATCTCTTGTTACTTTCTTTGTTTTGAAGTCTATTTTGTCTGATATTAGTACTGCAACCCCTGCTTTCTTCTCACTGTTGTTTGCCTGAAATATGTTTTTCCATCCCTTGACTTTTAGTCTATGCTTATCTTTGGGTTTAAGGTGAGTTTCTTGTAAGCAGCATATAGATGGGTCTTGCTTTTTTATCCATTCTATTACTCTATGTCTTTTGATTGGTGCATTAAGTCCATTTACATTTAGGGTGACTATTGAAAGATATGTACTTATTGCCATTGCAGGCTTTAGATTCGTGGTTACCAAAGGTTCAAGGTTAGCTTCTTTAGTATCTTACTGCCTAACTTAGCTCGCTTATTGAGCTGTTATATACACTGTCTGGAGAGTCTTTTCTTCTCTCCCTTCTTATTCCTCCTCCTCCATTCTTCATATGTTGTGTGTTTTGTTCTGTGCTCTTTTTAGGGGTGCTCCCATCTAGAGCAGTCCCTGTAGGATGCCCTGTAGAGGTGGTTTGTGGGAAGCAAATTCCCTCAGCTTTTGCTTGTCTGGGAATTGTTTGATCCCACCATCATATTTAAATGATAGTCGTGCTGGATACAGTATCCTTGGTTCAAGGCCCTTCTGTTTCATTGCATTAAGTATATCATGCCATTCTCTTCTGGCCTGTAGGGTTTCTGTTGAGAAGTCTGATGTTAGCCTGATTGGTTTTCCTTTATAGGTGACCTTTTTCTCTCTAGCTGCCTTTAAAACTCTTTCCTTGTCCTTGATCCTTGCCATTTTAATTATTATGTGTCTTGGTGTTGTCCTCCTTGGATCCTTTCTGTTGGGGGTTCTGTATAATTCCATGGTCTGTTCGATTATTTCCTCCCCCAGTTTGGGGAAGTTTTCAGCAATTATTTCTTCAAAGACACTTTCTATCCCTTTTCCTCTTTCTTCCTCTTCTGGTATCCCTATAATACGAATGTTTTTCCTTTTGTATTGGTCACATATTTCTCTTAGTGTTGTTTCATTCCTGGAGATCCTTTTATCTCTCTCTATGTCAGCTTCTATACGTTCCTGTTCTCTGGCTTCTATTCCTTCAATGGCCTTTTGCATCTTATCCATTCTGCTTATAAATCCTTCCAGAGTTTGTTTCATTTCCGTAATCTCGTTTCTGGCATCTGTGATCTCCCTCCGGACTTCATCCCATTTCTCTTGCGTATTTCTCTGCATCTCCATCAGCATGTTTATGATTTTCATTTTGAATTCTTTGTCAGGAAGACTGGTTAGGTCTGTCTCCTTCTCTGGTGTCTCTGTGATCTTGGTTTGCCTGTAATTTTGTCTCTTCCTGGTGATAGGAATAGTTTGCAGAGCTGGCACTAGTGACTGCTGAAAGAACTTCCCTTCTTGTTGTTTTGTGGTCTTCCTCTCCTGGGAGAATAGCGACCTCTAGTGGCTTATGCTGGGTAGCTGCGCGCAGACAGGGCTTCTGCTTCCTGCCTGGCTGCTATGGAGTTTGTCTCTGCTGTTGCCGTGGGCGTGGCCTGGCACTGGCCGCTGCTGCAAAGTGGTGGAGTTGCGTTGGAGGGGTGCTGCCGGGAGGCTATTTATCTCCGTAGGGGGCCTCCGTGCTCCCTGCATCCCAGGCGATTTGAGTGCCCAGAGATGCCCGGATTCCCTACCTCTGGACTAAGTGTCCCGCCCTGCTCCTTTAAGACTTCCAAAAAGCACTTGCCAAAACAAAACAATGACCACCAAAGAAAAAAAAAAATGGCCGCTTATTTTTCTTTATTCTCCGGTGCCAGCGTCGGGCACCTGCTCACCGGTATTGCTGCCCTGTTTCCCTAGTATTGGGGTCCCTATCCCTTTAAGACTTCCAAAAAGCGCTCACCAAAACAAAACAACAACAACAACAACAAAAAAAAGATGTCCGCTAGCTTTTCTTTTGTTCTCCGGCGCCAGTCTCCGATACCCGCTCGCCAGTCTTTGTTCCCTGTTTCCCTAGTGTTGGGGTCCCTGTCCCTTTAAGACCTCCAAAAAGCACTCACCACAACAAAACAACAACAACAAAAATAAAAATAAAAATAAATAAAAAGATGGCCGCTCACTTTTCTTTTGTCCTCCAGTGCCAGCCTCCGGTACCTGCTCACTGTTCTTGCTGCCCTGTTTCCCTAGTATCCAGGGCCCCGCGCATGCACTGTGTCTGCTCTCTGGTCCGGATGGCTGGGGCTGGGTGTTCAGCAGTCCTGGGCTCCCTCTCCCTCCTGCTCTGACTCCTCTCCTCGCGCCGGGAGCTGGGGGGAGGGGCGCTCGGGACCCATTGGTGGGGGTTCATATCTTACCCCCTTTGCGAGGCGCTGGGTTTTTGCAGGTGTGGATATGGTCTGGATGTTGTCCAGTGTCCTCTGGTCTTTATTCTAGGAGGATTTGTCTTTGTTATATTTTCATAGATATATGTGGTTTTTGGAGGAGATTTCCACTGCTCTACTCACGCTGCCATCTTGGCTCCGCCTCCTCTATTGTTTGAGTTTTTAAATTTGCTATTAACATAATACATGGATTTAGTAAAACAACACAATAGAAAAAAGGCATACAATTTTTAAAAAAACTTCCTTACTAGTTTACTAGTATATCCTACCAGAAATATTCTATGCATTAAAAAATAGTGCATGTGTGTATATGCATCCTTTGTACTTTGTACATTGTAGTTTGGTTGTTTTTCTCTTATATTAAAGTTATATCTTGGGTGTATCTTAGAGATCCTGTCTTACCACAGGTGGATTTACAGCACTCATTTCCCCAAACTGTATTACATGACATTAGGTAAATATATCAAAATTTGTTGAACGATTCTGCTTTAATGGACTGAGTTCAGATAGGTTGGCCAGTTGTCCTGATTTGCCTGGAAGTAAGGAATTTATCAGGATGTGGGGCTTTTCATTGCAAAATCAGGATAGTCCCAGGCAAACTGGCATGATTGGTTGTTTTATATTTAGGTTGTTTATTCTTTTTGGTATTATAACCAATGCTTTAGTAAGCACTGCACTGTATATGCAATGAATGTGTACCTAAAATGCTTAGATTTATCTAACATTTTAAATAACTATTTTTTCTTTCTCTTTCTTTTTTTTCTTTACTAGGGCCAGACCAGTTATAACTGTAAATCCTCTTCTTGAAGTCTACCCAAGCATTTTAAATCAAGACAATAAAACTTGCCCATTGCCTGGGACAGATCTCAAAGTTTCCTGGTAAGGTATTTGTTTAATAATAGTTACTGTAATTATTGGTTCAATCATAAAAACAATTGAAGATGAAGGAGGTGCTGAAGTATTGCTAAAACAGTTTCTGTGGGTGTAATCTACTTTCATGTCTGAGTTTGTAGTAATATTGTTCCAAAGGAGATATGTAGAAGACTCTACAAATAAACTGGTATAAATTAATTTTTAAAAATGATGCATACTCAAGAAATATATTCAAAAAGAAGAAAAACTAATAAGATCTCAGAACTCACTTATGTTTAATTATAAATAAGCCCATGAACATTTTAATTTTTAAGATATATGATCTTTTTCATATTTAGTATCTATGAACAGATATAGAAAAATTCTATTTTGTTCTTAATACTCTGGTCTTCTACTTATTCCTTTACTAGTTTCTAAAGAAAAATAAAAATGTTTTCTTGAGTTTAATGTCCAAATTCTTCTCTAGTCCATTGTTTCTCAGGTCTCCACTATTTATATGCTACTTTTTGCTATATTTTTAAAATGTTTTTATTATATGATTCTTGCTATATTTTCATTTTACCTATTTATATTTTTCTTAACATTTTTTCTTTAAATTGACATGTTTTACTTTAAAACATTTAAAAATAAAATGGAGATACCAGTATCTTTCTCATATATGTTAAAATAAGTGTAAGTTTAATAATGAAACATCTTAACTTATATACTGTTAAAATCACCATGAGTACCCCGCTTTGCAAAATACTGTTGGTGTTTGTCCTAACTAACACAGGAAAATCAGACAGAACATGGATAAAGGGTAGAATGACTGCAAGCTGGGAAAATTTACTCAAAAGAGTTAATGACAAATATTTTTTCTGAGTCTGTTTTTGAACTATATAGTTATAATTCAAAGTTTGAATTGTAGTTATTATAACATTTTTCAAAGTTTTATTTCTTTCATTGGATTACATTAAAAATTTAGTAACATTTGGTCTTCATTTTTGTTGATTGGCAAGAAAGTTGTTTTCAAGATTTTGGCTTTAAGTTTTACTGCCTTTCTTCCATTCACTCGCCCTACATATCCCTGTGAAGTTGCTGATAATATGGTTGTAATTATGCTAATAATTCAAGGGCTTTGAATACGCTAACTAGAGCAGTAGCTTCATATGTTTTTGACTATTGCACATAATAGGAAATACATTTTGCATCACTGTCCAGTAAACACATGTATGTAATTTAAAACTTTCATGAACTTTTACCCTTGATACTTAAGTCAATTTTTTAATTTATTTTTTTAAGATACTAGATACAACCCGTTAAACTGATTTCATGATCCATTAATAAATTGTGAGAATAGTGTCCTAGAGGGACTTGCTAATTAAAAGAAACTTTGGTGGGACATTTTTGGTAAATGAGACATTATTTTAAATCTGGTCTGTCATTTGTCTCATTAGGATTTGTCAACAGGTTCTATAAACTTGAGGTTAAGAAATCTTTTTCTTTTTTTTTTGCACATTAAAATACCATGAAAGGAAATGTGCTTATATTACTGAAGGATGAGTTAGCTTATTCATACAGTTTTCATGTTTCAACAACAGTCTGAAGACATGAAGAGAGATTTATAAAAGGCTTCACAATGTAAACTATGTCTTAGAAATGTGAGTTTTGATGGTAATATTTAAAAATATGCCTAAACTGCTTTATAGAATTTATATTTTTTCAATTTTTCTGCAGTTTTAATGTCAAATTCTGTTTAAAGGCAGATGGTAAAGGAGCACTTCCCACGAAACTTAGTAAGTGTTCTATGGAAAAATATTATTTTAATGATGCTGTATATACATCATATGAATTGTTATTATAGTTGTTTTTTATTAGGATGTTTATGCCTAAAGACATTTAAAATTGCAACATAATTACTTTGGCAACTCAAGCCAATAGTACATTTATTTATTGACATGGTAAACAAAATAATCCATTGAATGGTAAATATGACCTTGAGAAAATTAAGCCGTGACCAATGTGAGATAAATGAACTCTAGGGGAAATGAGTAACATTGTAAATATGATCTACTGAAAAGTTTATATTTTATGTCCTGGAGAAACCCCCAGCAATCTTATGAGAAGAGCTGCTTTAGATATAATGAGAAGAAGAAAAGGTTTTAGCCACTAAATTTAAACCACGCAGCAAAGTTTTAACTTGACTCTTCCTTTCCAAAAACATTGTTTATGTGGTCCTGAGAGCAAGATAAAAGTTAAGTAATTGTTGCAAAGATATATCAGTATGTAACAAGTGCCGAGGAGTAATAACAAAGCAGAGGAAGAGTGCGGAGCGCTGAGTCTCCCGGGTGTGCGTCCTCAGAGCTCCCAGAGAGCAGCAGGCGAGGTGGCCCTGCAGGATAGCTTCTCCTTGAGGACCTGAAAGAGGTGAAGGAGCCAAGGGACATCTGGAGGAGTCAGACAGAGGAAATGGCGATTTCAAGAGGCCTGAGGCGGGAGCATGCTTTGTGTGTTCGAGAAACCGCAAGGAGGGCAGTGTGGGTGGGCAGAACAGAACTGGAAGCAAAGGAACCCTGGGTTTTCACCCACATTTGACATGAAGTTCAGTATCTAGAGAAACTTGGAAAGAGATTGTGGTTTTTAAAGATAGGCACTCATCTCTTTTGAAGAAACTGCTCAGAGAAGACCTGAATCTTAGAAGGAAGTTGTACTAACCACTGTGCTTCAAACCCCTGCTGCGCACTCATTTTAAGATGATTCATGCCCTGGTCAGCTGTATTTGGTCACTTGGTTCACAAGGACATGTTCATCTGACAGTCTGATGTGGTAGCTTCATTAGAAGTAGGAGTTGCAAGTGATACAAACTTCTTCATTCATCCTGGTGTTTCCTGGAATGGATGCATATTAGTAAATATTTCTTAATCACGATTATCAAGAGTCCTGCTTCTTAATGGTGGAAGCTTAATTCACATATATTTCATGTTCTGAACTTCCTCCTGTCAGCATAAATTAAAAAACAAAAATTTCCCTGCCCACTGATAGTTGTTTTACTACCATCATTATCTGTTCTCTGAATTAATATATGACATTACTTTGGAGATAGTTAATTATTTATTAATTATTAAATATTTGTTCAGAATTAGTATGTTTGGCCTCTCTACAGTGTATAGACATTTTTAATGAATTAGAAGCACATTACTTCTTAAGGACCAAATATCTCTCTTTACATGAAAACTCTCGCTGTCTAGGGCAGATAGGTGTCCATAAAGATGATGTTGGTTATAAATCCTTTGGTTTGTCTAGACTTCCAGGTGGAGCTTCTTTTGGATAAACTCAAGCAAAAAGGAGCAATTCGACGAGCACTATTTCTCCATAACAGGTCCCCGGGTCACTCCAAGAACATTACCATTTCAAGGGGGGGACAGATGCAGTGTGAGGAACTGATAGCATATCTCCGGGTAAGAGGTCTTTTCTGCTCCATTATCTTTTTATTTATTATTTTTTCTTTTCATCTAAATGATTTTCACTTTCTGTAAATTTTTTGGTGTTGAGTCAAAAAGAAAACAGAAAAGTGCACCTGACACAATTTGGCTTTTTAAAGTATCAAACCTGAGTAATGAATTTATACTCCTCGCAGACTGGATATTCCAAATGGCCTTTCAACAATAATGCTACTGAATAAATTATGACAAGTATATTTCTCAAATATTTCTGGACTCTCAAGACAGTACAAGAAATCTCCAGGGTCCAAAAAGAAGCAATCAAAATCAATTAAAAAAACTCTACTGGCAAAATTTGACTTGCGAGTTGTGTGCAAATGTGTGATACAGTGTTGCTGGGGAGAGGATGAGCAGCAATTGCAGATACCAGCACAGGGATTCAGACTTGCCTGGGGCCTTCCACAAACCAGTCTGACCTGAGCCTGCTGCATTCGGTCCAGACACTTGCATGAAGCTAAATTGTTACTATACAAAGTTGCACCCTAACTCCAGTAAGAGCAAATACAAAGCCTCTCTGCAGCAGTCTAGTATGGGATTATGGCACAGGTTAATTTCAATCAAATATGAACTCACTTAAAAAAAGCACTGAATGCCTAAGGAAACCAGCTATTAGAAGAAACAAATTTTAAACCAGCCAAGGCTTGGGATGTTGGAACTAGCAGTTACAAAATATAAATTTGTATAAAATGTTTAAAGAAAGAAATTTTTAAAGAGACAAGTAAAGGTTTAGGAAATGTAGCATAATTAACAAGCTTGATTTAACAGATTTATATAGATAGACCTCAGCACCCAGCAATTAGAGAATATAAAACTTGACCATGTAGGTCATAGAGGAAGTCTAATTAACAAATTTCAAAAAATTGGAATCATACAAAATAATTCTATTTGGTCATGGTGCAAATTTTAGAAACCAATGCATAAAGATGAACAAAGAATTGTGGCTTTAAATAACTTACGGATCAAAAAGAGATCATAATAGAAATTTTCTTAGAAGTGAATCATATTGAAAATCCTATATATCAAAATGTGTGGAATGTCACTAAAGCAGAATGTGAAGGTAAATAAATAGCCTTAAATGCTTTTCAATTTGAATAAAAGATTCAGAAAAAATGAAGAAAAAAGAACTCCACAAAATTAGGAATTGAAAAGGGACATAACTACAGGTAAAAGAGGGATTAAAATAATAGATTATGAATAACTGTACTAAAATAGAAAACTTAGACAAAAATAGAGAAATTCTTAGAAAAACATAACACAGACAACTCTTAAGAAGTAGAAAACCTGAATAAATCACTTAGCCATATACACCATTTATAACATTGAATTGACAGTCAAAAATCTTTTACACAAAAGAAGCACAAGACCAGGTGGCTAAATTTACAGGCGTCATCTACCAGACAATGAAGATCTACAACACATTCTAATCCTAAACTCTTTAAAAGAGTAGAAAAACAGAAAATACTTCCAATTTATTCTGTGAAGCTAGTATAATTAATACCCAGACTGGTCAAGGATATTGTATAAGGAAGGAGGATTTCATACCAGTTTTACATGAAGACACAGATGTAAAATTAATAAATCAAATACAAGCAAACTAAATCAGGTGTTAAAAAGATGAAGTAATCAGACCGACTTGCATTAATCCTAGGGTGGTTTAACACTAAAAATAGAGAAGTGTAACTTAACACAAGCATAGACTAAAGAAAAAAAACATGCCATCTTATTTAAGTCCAGGGAAAGCTTTTGATTAAATCAAATAACCGCCTGTGATTTAAACAAATAAGTATCTCAAGTTGTAACTGTGAAGAAATACCATCTTACATTCAATTGAAGTCTGCCAGTACCTGTTGATGGGTCAAGGTTGAATTAATGAGAGTTCTTACACATTGCTGATGGCAGTGTAAGTTGTTATGAAGACTTTGGAAAATAATATGGTCTTACAGAGCTGACAAATCTACTTACCACTATGGAGAAGAAGAATCATTATATATATATTTTTTGTAATAGCAAAAACAAAAAAAATGCTCTAAACCAAATAACCTTTGACAGGAGAATGGATAAATAAATTGTGGATTGGTTATATGGAAGACCACTCAACAGTAAAAATTAACTTTAGCTATGTGCAACAGCAAGGATGAATCCTAACAAGAGTGTTGAACAGAAAGCAAAGCACAGAAGAATACAAATGATCTCATTTTTAAATAAGAAAGGAAAAGCAAACTTTATAAAGAACATAGTGTTCAGGGACATATGCAGTATAATAAAACTACTGAAAGCTAGCCAGAGAATGGTGAACTTCAGATTCAGGATAGTGGCTACTTCTGGGAAGGAAGGGGTGGGGGTAGAAGGAGCATGTGGGGAGCTGAAACTGGAGAGATACTGGGGATGGGCTAGTTGTTACACTGGGCGTGTGGTCAAGTGCCTATTTTTTTAACATACCCTGTATATATTTGTGTGAATCAAATATTACATTTGAAACAAAAATTGATTAAGGGTTCTCACTGGATAAGATTTTTTTGGATCCTCTGTCATTCTCACATAAGTAGATTTTCAGAGTTGGGAGGATTGGATTAAGGGACGAATACTGCTGGCTTTGTATTGTGCACTCAGGGATTTCTCCAGATAGTTTGATATCATAGATTGATGTCATCATTAATTTGAGGCTTTTCCATTTCTAGGATGAGTCTGAATTTAGAGACAAACTCACTCCAATTACTATTTTTATGGAGTATCGGCTGGATTACAGAACAGCTGCTGATGCAACAGGCTTGCAACCCATTCTTAACCAGTTCACTCCTGCCAACATTAGTCGACAGGTACTGTGCTTTCTCAACTTATCACTCATTTTATACCTTAATTTTTTTTAAGGTCTTTCATTTCATATTTTTAAATGTCCTAAGGGGATTTCTTTTGTTATGTTGAGTTTTTAGTCAGGAGTCAGGGAAGGAAACTGAATTTTTCAGGTTAGAAATACTTAAAACTGCTGAGAACTTAATGATATGCAGAGAAAGACAGAGTCACATTTTATATGCATAAAACAGTAAAATAATTCATGTAATTCAAAACAGCAAAGTGCCAATGTATTTGCATAATATTTTAGTATTTTGCTGAACTTTTATATCAATGCTATCTTTAACTTAGATTTTAATTGTAAAAAATGGTATATGTGCACATGCATATATATGCATATATATAGTACATGAATCATTTTCATAAAACCAAATAAAACAGCATAACATTTCTTAAAGACTTGTAATATTTTTAGAAAATCCTATGTAAAACCCATGTATTCAAATAGTTATTGAATTTATTATTTCTTTTCTATTACATGTTCATATTTTTAAATTAATATTTCTGTTCTCATAGCATGCTTTACCCTCAATTTAGGTTGTTATTTCTTCTTGGTCTAACTTGCTAGATCTCATACACATTTTTTTTTGGAATTTGAAAAGACTGTGTATGACAGCAGCATAAGGTAAATTAAAATATACTTTAAAATCTTTTGTAATTTTTATATTTTAATAACTTATTTTATATTGTATTTTACACATGAATGGTCATAGTAAATGTGCCATTTTCTTCTATGCATTAGTATAGAGCATATAACCATAGTTCCATTAGTTCATATTCTTGGTATTTTTTATTTTTAGTGGATACAAATATTATGTTGATTAACATTTTAATAATGAACATTTGTGGCCCTTAAGGTCTGTCTTTTTTTAAAAAGTTATTTGTTACTTGTTCCTTTACATTGTATATTTTGATAGAGGTTTATGATTATTTCTCATTATAGTCATAGAATTTTTTAGAAATTGTTAGTGTTAACATTACTTTTGATTAACTTACTGAGACCACCATCTCTTTAATATGAACATGGATTTAAAGCCAACTAATCAAGTAGGTTAACTTTTGAAACCCCTTAGAGGGAAATAACTGTAATGATATTTGGCTTCCTTTCTTCTTCTCTTGTTCTTCATTAAGTCAAACCTTTTTTGTTTCCTTCGTGTCCTACATTTGTTTCAATAATGACATTATTTACTTTTAGGCATCTTTGCATCTTCATTCTTAGCTTTCTTTTGTACTTTCATTTCTATGTTAACAATCCTGCTCCATCATTCCTTCTAGTACTTTCTAAAATGGGTCCTTCATTTCACTGATCATATTACAAACTTTTTCACTGCTCTTTATTGAGTACTGCTGTCTAGTAGAAATATAACGTGAGCCACATTGGTAACTTTATATTTGTTAGTCAGCAACTTTTTTTTAAAAGATAGGAAGCAGGTGAAATTAATTTTAATGATACACCTATATTAGTTGCTAGAACTACTATCACAAAGTACCACAGAATGGGTGGCTTAAACAATAGAAATCTGTTTCTCACTGTCTAGAGGCTTGATGTCTTGAGATCAAGGTGTCAGCAATGGTGGTTTCTCCTGAAGCTCCTGCTTGGCTTGCAGCCACCTTCCCCTTTGTCTTCACGTGGTCTTCCGTCTATGTGTCTGTGGCCAGTGTCCTTATCAGCTCCAGGCATATTGCATTAGGGCCCAGCCTACTGATGTCATCTTAACTTAATTCCTCCTTAAAGACCATATCTCCCCATGAAATCACATGTGGACTTCAACATATGGATTTTGGGGACACACAAATCAGTACATAACAATATCCAGTGTTATCATTTCAGCATGTATTCTATTTAAAAATTATTAGCAAAATTTTACATTCTATTTTTTACTGTCTTCACAATCTACAGTGTATGATATATTTATAGCATATCAATTCAGATGCTGAAGCTTCATCAGAATTTTTTTCTGTGTTTGGAATTCATATAATTTAAAATTGAAAAAGTAGATTCACATACACAAGTTGTTTAAACACACTAAAATTTTTCAATAACAAAATCAAGGATCAGTTTTTTGATTTAAATTAATTAAAGTTAAGTAAAATTTTAAAATCAGTTCCTCAGTCACACTGGGAACAAGTCAAGTGTTCAAAAGCCGCCTATGACGTCATAGTGGCTATTGGATTGGACAGGACAGCTCTAGAATTTCTCTTTCTGTACCTTAATCCTTTGGAGTTAGAAATTTAGTGCTTTCTGCAGAGTTCTTCCCACCCTCCATTTAGCATCCAAATATGTATTAAGTTTTCAGTCTGTACAAGATGTTAGGTGTGTAACTATAGATATTTGGCTCTCTGTCAATGAAAGACATTGCTGTGTGCTTTCCCACTTGTGGCACTCTCCTTCCTACAGTATATTTCAATACCTTGGTTCCACCAATCAATGCCAGCTAACTCCTTTTTTTTTTTTTTTGGATGTAGAGTGGAAGTTAGCCAGATATCCCTTGATCAGAGTTTTATTAATATTTCAAACATACTTCTCATTCTAAACTTGAAATAATCGTCATTCTAACTGGAACTGTTAATACTTAACCATCTCACTAGTTAATTTATTATCTTTGAAATCCACTCTATATTCCTGAAGTAGTTTGACAGTGATCATGCCTCCAGAATCACCACAAAGTTCTTCTAAAGGTCCTGGGTTTTTTCACTCCCTGTTTGAAGTGCATGGCAACTGCTTATGTCTGGGTCATTGAATTAACTCATGTAATGTTGTTGGGTTTCATCCCAATTAAATTGATGGTTAAGATCTCTATCATATAATTTTATTCTAGGTAGCTGCATATCCCTTGTGACTTGGAAGCATACAGTCATCTTTTTTTGTTTTTAAAGGAAGCCTTTCATTGTTTGTGCCCTTCAAATCTCTTTTCTTTCTGTCTGTCTCTGGACTTGAAGTCTTTTGGATAGTAACAATAAACAAACCAAGAATGGCTTCCTCTTTTTTTCTTAATTTTTTTATATGCCTTCTTTTGCATCTTGCCAACCTATTCTGCTGCCTCCCACTATTTCTTTCTCTCGGGTTTTACATACTGCTCCCACTGGCAGATTCTTACAGCCAGATCTAGAGCAGCAAAGTTCAGGTTCTTGCTTGTTTCATCTCTCCTTGATTGGCTAACTTTAGTGCTTCTAGTTCCTTTTCTTTCATTTCTTTCCGAATGGCCATGCATATGGCTGGACTCATTTTGTCCAGTTTCTGCTCCCTTTGGCCTGCCTTCCAAAATTGCTACTGTACATCCACATCTCCTTATTCTTTTACACTCTGCAGCTCTATTTCCGTGATGTTGGCAGAGGCATAGTCTGTAATGAGAAACTGTGAAAGAGAGTTTATTTTGTCCAAGGTCACACACCTTAGCTAGCTGCAGCAGATTCAAGCTGAACCTTCATTACTTGACTATTACTTTCCCTTCCAAACAGCACTTCAAAACAAACATAAAACTGGAATCATAACATAATTATATGTATGATATGGAAAACATAAAACTTCAAAATCATAACAGCTTAATTTGAGATAGAACTAAAAGGTTCCAATTAATTGTATTATATATATCCTGTGAATCTTTTTCTTCCTTTTCATTCTTGACTAGCTACACTGACCTGTTTAAAAATAAGCCGTCATGATCCCTTTTGCCTTCAAGTGTGAAAACAAGTTGATGAGTGTATATTGTATATAAATATAAGCATGTGTGTGTAAGTGTATGTTCATGTAGATTGATACACACTGCATGTGTGTCCTGTATTGGTATGTTTTCATGTAGGAAAAATAATTTTCTTTTCTAGGCTCATATTCTTCTTGACTGTGGTGAAGACAATGTCTGTAAACCCAAACTGGAAGTTTCTGTAGATAGGTAAGTTTTGCTCCAAACAATAAACAGTATAATAAATATAAGTGGACCAGAATATTTTTCTATTCAAAGTAATAGTATATTTTAATGGAATTAGTTGTATTGGAGGATAATGCATGATTTTTTACAATAAAATCATCATCATTGAGCTCTAAAAAAATGTGCAGTCTTTTCACTACTGGCCCATTAACTGACCAGTTTCTGCTTTGCATTAAATAGTGTCACAAAGTAATGTTACATTCTCCTAAAGATACTCCTCATTGTAAATATACTCCTAACTAAAGGAATATGATTGACTATTTTGTATTATATAAATTGTAAAGAATATGTGGAAATTAAGACATGATTAATTTGGCTTTTAGAAAAAAATTGGGATGCAAAGAGAGAGAAAATTCAGTGGTAGATATGAATGATATGCCAGATTTGTACCCACTATGCTCTTTCCAGTTTTCCATTGAGCTGTGAGGTGGTCTTAAAGTACCTTGAGACACTGTTGAACATGTTAGTGCTAAGTATTTCTTTTGTTTCTTAGAACAGTCATGCTCTCCCCATGCAGTCTTTCTTCACTGTCTAGATTTGTATTAACTTGCAGTGATCAAAAGAAGATCCATATTGGGGACGACAACCCTCTGACATTGATCGTTAAGGCTCAGAATCAAGGAGAAGGTGCCTATGAAGCAGAGCTCATTGTTTCCATCCCACCGCAGGCTGATTTCATTGGGGTTGTCCGCAACAGTGAAGTAAGCAAGCTGCCTCTTAAAAATCGAAATGCACTCATAGGTCTCCTTAACATTAATGTGTTACTCCCCTATTTAGTGTAGTATAAGCTTAGCGATTCTACCTAAGGTGAAATTGTTAGAAATAGAAAGCTTATTTTACGTGGTTCCTTTCAAGCCTTTGCATGATGCATCCATAGGACATCTTTAGAATTGCTAGCTAAGTGCCTGAAATAAGATGAGGTCAGATAGATAAAGTGTCTAAGCCTGTCAATCAAGTATTTTGTCAGAGGTAATATGATTATGTATCTAAGTCTTCCAGGGATCTTTCAGAAACATTTTTACATTTATATGTGGCAATTGAGCACAGTTCTGGCTTCTCCCATACCCCTGATTTACTTAAATAGATGTATATGCTTTGTAAACAAGAAACAAACATCCATGTGCATAGCATTGTCTAGGAATTTTATAGTTTTAGACTTCTGCTTTTTTTTTTGATCATTAATTTATTTTCCCCTAATTTCTATTTATTTGTCTTTCATAGGCCTTAGCAAGACTTTCCTGTGCATTTAAGACAGAAAACCAAACCTACCAGGTAGTATGTGACCTTGGAAACCCAATGAAGGCTGGAACTCAAGTAAGACATTTTAATTAAATAGATTTTTTTATCTTTTAAAGAAAATACCAAATTTTTCTATAGCTTTGTCCATAGTAATTTTTCTTATAAACACTTCAAAATAGTGTCTTTACATTGGTTTTGATTTACAGTATAACAATTAGTAGAGTTTTGCTTAGTTTTGACTAAGAAACTAAAATAATGAATTGTACTATTATACTGTATGCAGTAAGTGGCCTTTATACAGCCTTCAGTTTGGTAAATAGATGAGAATATGGATTCAGTGAAGGACTAAAATTGACTTTGATATTTTAAACTATGCTTGAATGAATCCTCAAAGCTACTCTGACAAATACCAGATTATTCGTAGGGGGGATAGAATTATACCATTAACTTGAAGTTGGAAGGTCATCCCAAATCAGATCAAAGAGCTCCTTAGCTGGATCAGGCTCCTCTTCAGGTGGTAGAGGAGGGAATCCAGGAGCTTGAGAGGAAGCCCACTCCCCAAATCCTCTGAAAAGTAGATAAGATATACCTTGTAGAATTCCTAGTTTTAAGGGGAAATAGCTATATATTTCATGTTACAATTTCAATAGAATTTTAACTTAATTGCACATAAATATTGGTAACTTGAACATCTGTGATATGGGGCTAATTCATATTTGCCCTCAACATCTCTCCTATTAGATTGTTAAAAGATACAAACTTGAAACCAGTAGTAGATAAGCCTAAGAGATCTAATGCATAGCATAGTGAATATACACACCAATGTTGTAATCATCTAATTGCTAAGTGACTAGATCTTTATTCCAACCACAAAAAAGAAATTGTAATTATGTGACACAGAGGTGCTATCACTACACTGGGAATCATATTACAGTTTATAAATAAATCAAATGAATACTTAGTACACCTTAATATGTAGTGTGATATGTCACATACTACAATTTTAAAAATCCCATATTTAAGTATATTTTCCATTAAAAGTAATTATTTTTAAATGCATGATCTCTTAGCGAAAAGTGCTTGGACAAAGTACCCTCCATTGAATTTTCCCACATGTGTTTAACATAATGTTTTATTAACAAATGAACATGCTTTTTATTTTCTCATGTTCTCTAGCTTTCTCATGCCCAGGACATTCATTATAGATGATTTCAGATTGTTTCAAGTGGCCAGCTCCAGGCTTTGTAAAGTGGGAGGCGGTTTGATGAGGTTCCTAAGAAGTAGCATTTTTGTGTGTCATTTATATGATCCCCGAGAAGCCTGCTTTCTCTTACCATGTAGCTCATCTGTTTTCTTTAAAATAATTATTTTCTTTAAAATAGTATGTTTTCCACCTGCAGGAGTTAGGATGATTGTTTTTGGTGGAGTTGTGAAAGCTGTGGAAAAAGTTGAGTTGTCGCCCTATTTATGTCTTTCTTAACGAAGTTTTCTCACTCTTGTAAATTACCCATTTCTTCCTTCCTGCTCCACAAGTCCGGTTGTTAGCTGTCACCCTACATAATTGTGCATAATTGCTGTACTTCCGTTGGACCAACAAATACTTACTTTTGCATCTTTTATAAAGTTAATATTATAAGGAGATAATTAGTATTTGAGGAGATATAATTATGATTAATAATTGTTAAGTAGCCTCCCTTATGGATTGGCCCAAGTATCTTAAAAGAGATTCAATAGAAAATCAGATTTAATTATCTTTGTTAGAAGTACTTTCAGTTTATTGTAAGCTCAGAAAAACCTTATTTTAGAATATTCTTTTATATTTGGAAATTGGATTTGAAATTTCACTAATTAGACATTGTTTTAACTAACATTGCCATATTTTCCTCTTCCTTCAGCTGTTAGCAGGTCTTCGCTTCAGTGTACACCAGCAGTCAGAGATGGATACCAAAGTGAAATTTGATTTACAAATCCAAAGGTATGGAAAACAAGTTTTTTTCAGTTCATAATAACTGTTGAGGAAATATAATTTGTTACAGATATATATTATGTAATATATTTTACATTAATATGGAATAGAATAGACTAAAATTTCAGCACTTGATTATGCCATTTAAAATCAGTATTTATAACATACAACGATTTTATTGTTGGTATTGAGTTTGTAGAACAAAACCAAAACTTAAGTAAAATAGTCATTATCTTGGAATTAAATGCTAATGAAAATAATTATTTTAATTTATAAGGTTTTCATTTCTTTATTGCTTTTAATTTGTTGTTTTATTTTCACTGCATTTGCCTCTGTATGATTTGAATGGTGATTATGCTCAATTCAGTTCTAAATGTATTTCTTTCTTTTTCAGCTCCAATCTTTTCGACAAAGTAAGCCCAGTTGTATCTTACAAAGTTGATCTTGCTGTTTTAGCTGCTGTTGAGATAAGAGGGTGAGTATGATTACCAAGGTGAGTATATCATCCTCATGATTTAAACTACTTTAAAAAGTAGTTTGAAAAGTAACTACTAGGACCTCTTAATTCTTTTGGATAGTAGGCACACCAAGTATAGCGATTTTACTAGTAGCTTATGTAGAAAGATAGGTCCTACATGAGTTCCAAAGCCCCAAATATTTATTTGGTAATCTGGAAATAGACATGGCAACAGCAGGCAGAAAATAAGTTTATTGAACTTTTATGCACATGGGCTTATCAGTTCACCTGCTAACACTAGATTCAAGAGTATTTTGTGTGTAGTGTGTATGTGTGTGTGCATGTACCTATACACATACATGTATAGTTTTTTTCCTTTTAATATGTGTTTTTCATTCTGATTTTACTCATTTAGATACAGGGAACTTTGAAAGTGAGCTGACAATATCATTTTGATATTCACAGTTGGTTTTCTTTGGTCATGTTTAGAGTCTCAAGTCCTGATCATATCTTTCTTCCGATTACAAATTGGGAGCACAAGGAGAACCCTGAGACTGAAGAAGATGTTGGGCCAGTTGTTCAGCACATCTATGAGGTTTGCAGTTGTTGGTTTTAACTTAAAACCTGGTAGGGAGCAAAGAGAGGAACAGAGGTCAAAAACAAGTCTAATTTGTATGTAACTTCTGCATAGTTTTACTTATGTACCAGAAAGTTCTTTAAACTTTTCCATATTCATAAATTGCCTTTTTTTTTTTTTTTAGAGAAGAAGCCCCAAGTGGCTAAGGAAAGCAGTTTTTACAAATCGTTCTTTAAAGTTGATCATTTCTACTTGAGTAAAAATCGTAGTCATTGATAATTTTCACATGGACATTTTGCAATTCTGACTAAAAGTTGACAATGCCTCTAGTAGATCATTAAAGACTTTATTTCTGTAGAAAGAAAACTTTCTATGTCATCTTCATCCAGAACTTTTTCATATTGTTCTCTTGTTTATATTTTCATCCTAATACATACTGCCTACACTAGAGGCAAATGTTTGATCTGTTTTTTGTAATAACAATCATGTTGTAACTTTGGAGTAACTATGGAAACTGCTGTTATTCAAATTCTGTACTAATGATTCCTAAAGTTGCTGAAAGGGGAGCAGTATAGAATAGATTTTCACCCAAAGTATGCACATTTTCTTTTCCTCATTAGCTAAGAAACAATGGTCCAAGTTCATTCAGCAAGGCAATGCTGAATCTTCAGTGGCCTTACAAATACAACAATAACACTCTGTTGTACATCCTTCAATATGATATTGATGGGCCGATGAACTGCACGTCAGATATGGAGATCAACCCTTTGAGAATTAAGGTAAGGTGATTAATAGCAGCTCTTCATATATTTTATTGCTTTTTTTCCTAAATCTATAAAAAATACATGAAATAAAACAACTATTTTAATACACAAACCCACTCTGCTGAAATATTTATAACCAGTGCACTAAAGACTAAGTTGTTTTTTTGTATAATGTATAAGCATCAATTCTGTGAAGTTCTAGTGAACCAACCATACGTTTATGTAGTGGTTAGTGAGCCTCAGGAGATATTTTTTTTTATTAAGGTATCATTAATATACAATCTTGTGAAGATTTCACATGACCAACATTGTGGTTTCAATACTCACCCATATTATCAAGTCCCTCCCCCACCCACCCACCCCATTGCAGTCACTGTCCATCAGCGTAGTAAGATGTTATAGAGTCACTACTTGTCTTTGGTTCCATCCTGTTGTGGTTTATGCACATGTAATACTGTATCAAGGGTGGGGCTTTTTTGTTGAAATTTTTGTCTTTGAGGCAAAATATAACATTTTGACTTACATAACCTAGAAAAATGTCATTTTATGGAATTGTATATACTTTTGGACATGCTCGTCTTCATCCTAACACATATATTTGGATACAAAGCTATTGTACAATTTGTATTAATGAAAATTAGGAAAACAAAAAAGATATACTATGACAGTTACTACAGCACTATGAAATTTCAGGCTGTTCCTGTGTGTTTTGTCAGTTTCCGTTGTAGTTATGCAAAGGGAGAAAATCATGGCTAGTCAGAGATAATATTTTTCTGCATATTAAGGACTCTAATCTCTATTTTCTGTGCTTAACTTTTCACCATGTATTATTTTTTCTGTGAATTTTCCATTGTGCCAAATTTTCAGTTACTGTGTTTTAATCACGTGTAACAGTTTATGCCAGAATGTCAGTGTAAAATGTTTTCTATCATTGTTTACCACTGTTTATCCATATAATCCTAGATCTCGAATTTGCAAACAACTGAGAAGAATGACACAATTGCTGGACAAGGTGACCGGAACCATCTCATCACCAAGCGGGATCTCACCCTCAGTGAAGGAGGTATTCACACTTTGGTAAGTGCCATTTCAACAAGCACTTTAAACATTTAAAAATATGTGATTTTAGAACTGATGCCAAAGAACATTTCAAAAATAACAACAGCTGTGCTTGAGAGAACTACATGTATTTTTATACCATTCACTCCTCTTTCCTTGTTCTTAGGTCATTTGAAAAAAATCTGGTGTTAATCT